GTGGTTGAAAGCTAACGGAGCGCGTTTTGGTGATGAGGTGGCCGGCTCGCTTGGGTGGCCGGCTCGCTTGTGTTGCACGTTACGCTCTTTCGTTTGATTAAAGCTCCTGCACTTTTTCTCTGTGTGCAAATACAACGGTATCACTGCAAACTCGGCTCACGAAGACGTGGGAAGGGTCACAAGCACTGCCGCCCATGGGAACCGTGCCACCTCACAGGAGCTTAAATTAACTCCCTAGCATCTAGACTTGACTCCTACATCTTCACTTCATCAATATTCACTACTTAGTCACGAGACACCCACCCCACGAAGCCGTATGGGGAAATACCCGGACCCTGCTACGCCGTTGGGTGCCGTCGGAAAGACTTTCTCCACCTATCAGGCCCCGCCGCGGGGTCCAGAGTTAATCCGAAATCGCCTCCAACGGGGGAGACAAGCTTTTTAAACAAGCTACTTTAAACAAGCTACTTTGCTGCGTTTCGTTCCTTTTCCCTTCGAGCATTACTACTCAGCTTGAATCGGACGAGTTGAATTAGCAACTTTGAAGCTCTCACTTGTCTTGATTCATTGCGTATCTGGACTTCTCGTGCACAGAGAAGGCACCAAACTTGAATTTGAACAACACGCGTGACTTGAACATCATGGTCACTATTACTCGCGCTGAGACGCGCGATGTCAGGTTTCCGGTATGTGCGTCTACCTTTTTGCGGGCCTTTTGATAGAATTTGTTTAGAGGTAGGTGTGAGGCTAACAGAGCTTTGTAGACTTCTCTCGACAAAACGGGCTCGGATGCTATGAACGCGGCGGGAGACTACTCGTCTGCGTATTGCATCCTGTACACGGACTCTGAGTACACTGGACATGGAATGGTACTGTAGATTCTTTTCTTTTCTTCGGTGTCTCAGCTTCATCGGTTTCAATCTCATTCTCAAGTCATACAACAGGATATCAAAAGTCACTACTTCCCTACCGTTGAAACCCCTTCTCCTCCGATATCCCCCTTCTCTCTTTACTCAACTAACACCCACCCCACAGACCTTCACAATCGGCCGCGGCAACGACGTCGTCTGCACCGCCATAACCTACCTCACCGACCGCCTCGCCGGCCGCACCATCGCCTCCCTCGTCGCCAACTGGGGCGCTACATGGCGCTACCTGGTCTCAGACTCCCAACTCCGCTGGATCGGCCCCGAAAAGGGCGTCATCCACCTCGCCCTCGGCGCCGTCGTCAACGCCCTCTGGGACCTGTGGGCGAAAACCCTCAACAAGCCCGTCTGGCGCATCGTCGCCGACATGACACCCCAGGAGGTCGTCGCCTGCATCGACTTCCGCTACATCACCGACGCGCTAACCCCCGAAGAAGCCCTCGCGATCCTCGAGAAAGCGGAGGTAGGGAAAGCGGAGCGGATCAAAGAGGCGGAGGCGAGCAAAGCGGTGCCGGCGTACACGACATCGGCGGGCTGGCTGGGCTACGGCGAGGACAAGATGCGCTCCCTCCTCCAAGAAACCCTCGCGAAGGGCTTCCGCCACTTCAAGATCAAAGTCGGCAGCGACGTCGCCACCGACCGCACGCGCCTCGCCATCGCGCGCGAGATCATCAGATATGACCAGGGGAATGTGCTGATGGTGGACGCGAACCAGGTGTGGTCGGTCCCCGAAGCCATCACCTACATGCGCCAGCTCGCGGAATACAAGCCATGGTTCATCGAGGAGCCGACATCGCCGGACGACGTGCTGGGCCACGCGGCGATCCGCGCGGCGCTGCGGCCGCTGGGCATCGGCGTCGCGACGGGCGAGATGTGCCAGAACCGCGTCATGTTCAAGCAGTTCCTGCAGGCCGAGGCGATCGATATCTGCCAGATAGATGCGTGTCGGCTGGGCGGCGTGAACGAGGTGCTCGCGGTGCTGCTGCTCGCGGCGAAGTTTGGGATTCCGATTGTGCCGCACTCCGGGGGTGTGGGCTTGCCGGAGTATACGCAGCATCTGAGCACGATTGATTATGTGGTGGTGAGCGGGAAGAAGAGTTTGTTGGAGTATGTGGATCATTTGCATGAGCACTTTTTGCATCCGGCGGAGATTGTGGAGGGGTATTATAAGACGCCGATGGAGCCCGGGTATAGTGTTGAGATGAAGAGTAAGAGTATGGCGGCGTATGAGTTCCCGGGGAAGGAGGGGGTGAGTTGGTGGAGGGGGGAGGAGGCGAAGGTCATATTGGACGGGGAGAAGATATAGGGGAATGGGGGATGTGGGGGATTGAGGGGATCAGGGGTTCGCTGTCTGCAGCCAGGCTTCCCCGGATAAAGAGTAAGCGTTGTGGAATATTATTCATACTCTCTGTCTACAGGAAATTCTCCGAAACTTACCTGCAGGACTGTGCCCTGCAGGACTGTCCATCACAAAACTCAGTGCTAGATACTGATAATAGGGAAGGTAATGGTAGCATAATATCGATGATCCGATCTCAACCAGTAAATGGAACAATACGCGGATCAAAAAGAGACCTCCGTGTGAGTGGGCAGGATGCGTTTTGAACACAGGAGTCTAGGGAAGCAAACACTCGGGCCGAAGCCCTACTAAAAACCCCCTGTTACATGTAGGAGATTTTTTATCACTAGCTGAGCTCCAACAGCTGGCACACTGGCGGCCGGCATAGCGGCATAGCCTACTCTGCCACCCAGGCAGGGCCTCAAAGGGCGATGGTGGCGAAGAATAATACTGTATATGTGGGCTGTAAGACAGTGTTGAGTGAGCATGAAGCCGCCTGTCTTTGGCACAGTGGATCAAGGTTCACAAACTGAAGGAGTAAATGAGTAGTACAGATACGCATTAGTACCCTTTAAATCAAGCCGCGAATAGATTTAGATTTTTTCGTACCGCAATATCGTCCACGGTTTTCGTTTCTACAACTCCAAGTCGTCGTGCCTGTACCCATAGGCAGGTATAAAAGCTGTAGCTGTTCGATAGCTCTAGCCATACCTATAGAAGAAAGTGAAGAATGTGCAGTGCAAAGTAGCGGACAGATCGCAACGCACATCAACCACATGTGTCCTAGAATCCTCCACAAAACACATGTTCAACTCCCAAGCCTTCCCCTCCCCTATTTCGGCGGCTTCCATCCCTTCCCATGCACCGTCGCATACCCCTTCGGTCTCCCCACATTCTTCCCATACTCCCCGCCAAAATTCCCGGGCCCCTTATAGTTACAAACCGTAAAAAAAGGCGTACAATCCGCCGTAACGCCCTCCAACCCCTTCGGCCCTTTGCCACTGCCCGTGCAATCCTTCGTATAGCAAACCGCATGCGTCGTGCTCTTCCACACCACCTGGCTATAATGCCCCCAGGATTTGAAGTGGGTCATATCGGGATTGTCGGCGCCGTACGAGGCCTCCGGGTACGCGTTGACCTCGCCGTTGTAGAAGCCCTCGGTGATGATCCAGTCGACGCGCGCGGCCTCGGTGCCGGCGGCGATGTTCTGCCCGTAGCCGCCGCCGTCGACGTCCATGCTGTGCGCGTAGATGCAGGTCTCGGCGATCTTTTGGGCGGTTGCAGCGAGGGCGTCGTCCCAGGAGACGGCGGGGGCGGAGTTGTTGGCGCGGTGGCAGTTGTGGGCGTCGAGGACTTTGGCTTGGTAGGTGGTGGGGTTGGAGTGGCAGGCTGCGATGCCGGGGGAGTTGGAAGCTAGGGATGGGGAAGATGCTGGTGGGGCGGCGGCTGAAGAGGCCTGTTTGGATGAGGCTGGCTCTTGGATAGTAGATCTGGACACTGTCGTAGAGGAGAGGTGGGAAGGTTCGTGGTGGTGTCTCACATCGCTGATGGAGACATGATTGTAGCCAGGAGAGTCTGCAACACTGATTGGCACGGTCGTCGGGGCGAGTTGGCTGGCAGTGACGGTCACAATCTTCTCCTGCGCAGAGACGATTGTTAGTAAATGGGTAAAAGCTCTGAGAAAGAGAGATGTCATCTCACCACAGTGAACCATACGACATCGGTGTAAACACCATTGTCGCGGGGCACGATAGGGGAAGTTGATGCCAGAGCGGCAAAGGCAACGCCGAGGACTAGAAGCTTCATCTCAGAGATCGGATGCGGATGCGGATGCGGTTTATAGGCTTTTAGGTAACGAAATATTTTAACGTGATATCGAATCACCAAGGGCTTTTGGACAGAAGGAGCGTATTTTGCAACAGCACAGCTTATAGAAAGAGTAACAAAAAAATCGTTCGAACAACCTCAAAGGAATGAAGAGGGTATTTGTCGAGTGAATGAAAGGACAGGCCGTGGAGAATGAAGATGAGGGAGGGAGGAGGAGACGCTATCAATATCTTCTACGCCCCACGAACAAGACCTTCTAAGGCATGTGCATACGAACCAAGCGGCAAGGTGGACTATATTAAAGACGTATAAATGGGACATGGACTGTTCAGACCTTGCATCAGACGCCTTCGCGCACTCCTTCGATCATCTTTCGGGTTCTCCGCTTAGATCGAGCCGTCAGCAGAGTAGCGCCTAGAGCTGTTTCGAAACCATATTGCTTCTGAGTGGATATGTCAACCGTTTTTCTGATGCAATTGTAGGGTTCTAGAGTTGTCATTGGCCGGCTGTTTCCTTTACGTAGGTAAACGCCGTCTCCTGCAGGTTTAAGTTTCAGCCTTCAGAGCTCGGGACGCTGATCTTAGGATCCGGAGGGCGATTCTGCCTCATCGATGAAGGTTAGTGCGGCGTGGAAGTTTCTTCTATTTAGAGCGCGCGGCAATGGGGCTGTTGGTGTGGAGACGCTAGGTTGAGTGTTGGGTGGCCGATCGACTTAGTCATTGGGCGGGTGGACAGTGCCCTGGTGCCTGGCCTGCTCGCGGGGTGTGAAAAAGGTGCACACTAATGCACTAAAATCAGCCGATATGGGGGTTCTGCAGCGTAGCATCAAAAGGAGCTAATAAGCAATACATTGCGAGTAAGATACATTTGAAATCAAGGTGATATGTCGTAACTTAGAATATTTCGAACCCTTGAAAACCATAGATTAAGACGCAGTGATATCTTCAACGCTCATCACTCCGGTTCAGTCTCCACGAACAGTGTGTCTGTACATACGAATACACATGTAAGCTCATCAGAATACAAGCGCCATCTACGCCCCGAGGAAAAGATTTGATCCCTCATTATTTGTTCTCGAGCTCAGCGTCTGGAGGAGCCTCGGGATGACAGGGAAGAGCGCCGTCTGTCCATACTCGATCTGATGCTTTCGCGATTGCTAGGATTTGGTGTCTTATCTTTCCGCAAGCCGAGAGTCTGGAAAGAACCCTCCACGCCTTCATAAAGAGGGCAAAACGTAGACCAAAAGTCGTGATCCACGACCTAGCGGCATTCCTTCTGACTGACTTTGGTGCGTTGTCTCTTCAAATAGGCAATGATGAACAAGATATCGGCAGCATCGTTGCGCTTCTTCTCCATCATACCCGGGCCAATCCGTGTCATATAAGAGTATGCTTTCGAGTTGAGGAGGAAGCTCATGTTTGCGAGTCGGGCCTTAGATCGTGCAGTGATCTGGGTGTCTTGGCTGGCGCTGAAGGGTTGACTGATGGCTCTGTCCGATGTGATGTCGATCCCGTAGCAGCCACCATCCGAAGCAACATATCTGGATCTCATTAGTGTTAAGAGCGTATAGATGGCATCGAAGAGACTCACCCAATGCCTCCTTTGGCTGTCCGAACCATTCCCTTCGACAGAAGGTGGCCCTCTACAACCTCAGCTACGCTCTGTGGAACGATAATATCCAAGTCAGACGTAGCGCGAGTACTTCCATATGCCGCAAGTGCAGCTCCTCCGATGATTCCATCCTCTATTGATCCAAACGCTCGATTGGTCGCATCGATAAACTCTAGTAAAATCTCAGAAGACATCGCCCTTTCCGTTCTGACAATTCCTTGGGACTGAGTTTGTGAAGATGCCCCGACCGTCCGAGGGGTTGCATTTCGATTGATCGATTGGCTGACGTAGAAGTGGACGCCTGTTTAGAGGAAAAACAGCCCATGGTTTCCGATGATGGCCGAAGAGGTAATTGCCTAATTTTAATAAGGATACAAAAGCAAATCCGAGTTATGAAGTTGTGGAATACTGTAGACCTTTATGTGGATATAGATCCGTTCCTACTATTACATGATTGATCTGTCGTGCTTTTATATACCTAGCTTCAATGAAGAAGGCGAGGAGTTTCCCTGTCCTAAGTTTAGCAGTGCGGTTCTGTTTCGAATCTACGAGACAACGCGACTCCGGGGCTGCTCCTTGTATTAGCTACATGAGACTAAGCCTATGAGAACATCTTGGAGTCGTATGAACTGCTGCCGAGGCCATCGTAACTAGAAAAGGGAGCTGAATGGCGGAACAGAAGCGGGTCAAACACGCCTTCTTTCCGCATAGATACGCGCCGGTATTAAAAGACATAAGGCACAGATGCTGGCTGAGAAGCACATTATCTTTTCCTATCCTGTCATCTTCTTATGGGGGCGGAAAGCCGAAACGCGAGGTTACGGCGCAGGTTTGGAGTTGGTGGAGTGCGAGGCGGCAAGTCATCCTTCCCAGAAACTGTCTAGAGAAAGCCGCTAGAATAACAAAAGCCTCCTATTCACACCACCTAAAGCTTTGCCATTAACTCAACGCCCACGCCCTTCTACCCACGCAACATCCTTCCAAATGATCGTCATAGGCAATACATTCATACTGTCGAAAATCAGACTGTAGTCTGTCTCTTTATCGCTCACGGTTGCATCATCCCAATCATCGAAACCCAATCTTTTCAGTGCTTTCTTTCAGCGATTCAAGCGGACTGCCCATGGCACCTCCTTAGCCAAGGCTGACGACAGTAAACCGGGATCTAACAGAAATCGCTACTTTGCCTGCGAATTTCTCGCGGAGAAAGGAATTGCAAGCGCGATCTGGTTTCAGGATCTGTTGGCTCTCCATGGCAGCGATACCCAGGTCTTCGACTTACACCTTCTGGTTCACGACCCCGCCAAGGCTGCTGCATTCTTTACCCAAGCTGAATATTCAATGATATCTGTCGAATGGACTTTTGAGGACGATCCCGAGTTCAGCGAACGTGGGATCAGGCTATCTTCTCCAGATTCCAAGACAGTAGTTTTCCTTCTACCATGCCAAGACTGGTACTACGATTTAGACGACAGTGTTGAAAACTATCTCCCTGCTCTTCATACATTTCTAGACTCAATGATTGAGTTCTGGCTCAATATATCTTCACGCGCCTATGTCGACAGACTGCGCTTTGCGCTCTGGGTCGCGTGTCTGATCGGCTATTGCTACGCTCTTACAGACTCCGATGGTAGCCCTGTCAAAGAGGCCCTCTACGCGAAGCGCCTTAAGATAGAACATCGTGAAGTTCACTATCATATTGTTTCCAAGGAACAGACAGAGGTATTTACTACGACGAACCAACACCAATACCATATGAGAAGGTATCGCGAGATCAAAGAAGGAACATTCGTCCCTAGTCCTTACAAAAAGGGCGTCCACAAGGCGTCTCTTACCGCCATACTCGAGCAATGAACCACGTTCCAGAATTAAATCAAGGGGTTCTTGATCTTTTGTATCACGTGGGAAATAGCACGTGGGTGAACGTCTGGCCAGTTTCGTCTATTTATGGCTCACCTGCAACCGCCAGCCCTCGCCCTCCACAACATTCAACATGCTCAGATACCTACCGTAATCCACCGCACAAATCTGACCGGTCAAGCCAGGGGTCAGCCCGCCGTAATCAGCACGTCTCTCTCCAAAACACAGCACCGGCACCCGAGATGTTCCCAATCCAGCTCCAAATACTGTCCGACCTCCACCTCGAAACATCCGCCACGCGCCCCACATACGCCGAATTCAGCATAACGCCCCGCTGCCCCAACCTCGCACTCCTGGGCGATATCGGAAACGTACTCGACCCACTCTTGCTCGAATTCCTAGACATCCAACTCGACAAATTCGAACTCGTCTTCTTGGTGCTCGGGAACCACGAACCGTACGGTAGCAGCTATGCCGCCACCAAGCAACTTATCCGAGGATTTGAGGAACGGGTTAATGCACCAAGAGAGCGCAGAGGCCGTTTCGTGTTCTTAGACCAAACACGCTTCGACCTCAGCGACTCGGTGACAGTGCTAGGCTGCACACTCTTCTCCCACATCTCCCCGTCCCAGTCAGCCTCCGTATTCCGCTTCGTGTCAGACTTCTCCAACATCGACGGCTGGGACGTCGCCGCGCACAACGCCGCGCACGCCGCGGATCTCGCGTGGCTGAACGCGGAAGTCGCGCTGATCGAGCAAGAGGAGCCGCAGCGGGCGATAGCGGTGTTGACGCATTATAGCCCGACGCTGCTGGCGGCGGCGAATGATCCGAGGCATGTGGGGGATGAAGTCGGGGTGCGGAGCGCGTTTGTGACGGATGTGAGCTCTGAGGTGTGTTGGCGGAGTAAAAGCGTGAGGGTTTGGGGGTTTGGGCATACCCATTTTTGCTGTGACTTTGTGGATGCGGGAAAGAGGGTGGTTGCGAATCAGAAAGGGTATCGGAGGACGGAGAGTCTGGGGTTTGATGGGGAGAAACTGATTGAGATTGAGGCTCCTGGGGGTATGGCGACAGGGAGGATGGGGGAGGGAGAGAGGCAGAAAGGCGCGAGGCGAAGATCGCAGAACTGCATCATCTTGTGATCATCGAGAGTGAACAGGTTTCGGGGAGTTATACATTATAAATTAGAATATGAAGACCGTGATGTGATCCTGCGTGCAAGCCATCTGTGTAGCCCACATGGATACCATTTACTTTCGCACCCCGCTTCAACCCGGAGTTATTTTTATGCTGTCAACCCAAATCTCCTTTAGGCCTGTGTTCATCGGCGCGACATTGGCGAATTGCAGGCTCAGAATCCCATACATAGACGTCGTCTGCGTAGCCGGGATAACAATGCGTGGCCTGGGCGCTGAGGGCAGAGACGGCGTCATTGGCGGCAGCAGTATCGACTCGCCTGAGGATGGTGTTGTCGGAGGGGCCTGGGACCACGATCCATGAAGCGAGGATGCCGCAGCACGTGCTTTTGAAGTCGCCGTTAACGATCATATTAGTGGTCTTGCAGCAGGCCGGGGTCACAGCTAACGGTGTTGCAGATGGGCAGGCGGATGCGGAGGTGGAGGCGGGTGGGGGAATGACCTCTGCATCACAGGTCCCAGATTGATAGGTCGGCGCAAAGTAATCCACGAATGACTTACCAAAAGTAGGGTCGCCGCGGCAATTGACTTGTTTCATGAGATAGACTACTTATGATGGCAGACTAGCCAAATCACGTGTTGGTCGTGGTGAGCTTCATCCTGATCAATCACGTCTTCAGACAAGGCGCGCAACAGAAGATACCAGCTGGCATTGACTATTTGCGTGCGGGCGAGCTACCAGATACCAGCTACCCGTATATACACGGCCGCATTTTCTCCTCTCGCAATAACCACCGGGCCAGTCCGCACCAGCCATATCGTCGCAGTATCTTTGACATTTCCTTTCCAAGACCTGCCTCAGCCCTCAGTCGAAGCACCTCTAACTCTATCTGCCATTCGACAGGTCTCGGGGGAGCCGAAGATCAAGTACGCCCTGCCCGATGCGCCCAAGACCAATCTAATCTAATGCTTTTAAGTGGTGTTTATTGTTGCGAGGGCGGTCCGTTACACCGCCAACCAACTCAGCAAGCCACTTCGCGAATTGAAGGACAAAGTACCACCATGCAAAATAGAAGAAAGCATGACTTTCGCTCTCTCAAAAGGGAGAAGAAAAACAAAAAAAGTAGCGTAAAAAAGCATTGACAAGAAGAGCGAAGATGAAAAGAAGAGCCTCCAAATCGTCAGGTTGTTGTTTGACTGGTCGTAATGCCCCACCCTTGCCTCCCTAAGACCGTCCGTTCCTCATTACGAGGAGGAAAGAAAGAGGGAGGGCTGGCAGTAGAAGACACAGAAAAGGAAAACCATCTAATCCCACCCAACCGTTTCTCAAATGCATTTGGTAGACACACCCACCAACGCCTTATAATGCTTGACGCACGAGCCTCTCACCTGGGCTCGATCCGTCGTTCGTATTCCCTCTGATCCGGATATCCCTGCCCCATAGTCGTAGTCCAGCTCTCGCTGATCCTCGAGAGTAGTTCGTCAAAGACGAGTCGTAGTCGTGTCGAAACGAAGTCCAGACATTGCTTTGCCAGACTGCAGCCAGCAAGCAAACGTATAATGTGTAATTCCACTTACCCCTTCTCGCCCTTCAAAATTGGCGTAAAAAGTAACTTCATATCGAGAGTCAAATCTGCAAGTCCATAAGAATCATCCACATCCGTCACACTGCCAATCTCCATGCCCTTTGCATGCCGTTCACTGGCGACATATTTACGCACATGCCGGAGCAATGCAAACACCTGCGCGAAGCGCGCGTCCGGCGGCCCGAACCAGTCCTTGCGATCGTTGCTGCGGAAGAGCATGTTGCCCAGGAAAAAAAAATGCACACCATCGCGACAGAAGCCAATGCGACGCGTTGAGGGCGGGTACTGCAGCTCCATGTCCATGTCCCAGGCCCGTTTCCACTTTTCCATGGAGTTCATGACGACTTTGAGCATGTGATTGGGGTTGGGCGGTGGGAATTGACCTAGAACGCCGTCAACCGGTGTGACGTGGCCGCTGTTGTGGCCACTCATGGAGCCTTTGGAGCCGTCCGTAGATACCCAATCGTTGTGGGATAACGGAGTGCTGGCGCCACTCGAAGTGTATCCGCCATAAGTAGATGTCGTTGGCGCCTGGAAACTTTGGCGCTTGAATTGGGCGAGCTGGACGTGGAGGGCGTGAATGAGGACGAATTTGGAATAAACGTTCGTGCTTCGTGGCTTGAAATCGGCGCCATGTTGTTGTAGGAGCTTCAAAGCGTCCCGCATGGCAATTTGCTTGGGGCGTCGGCTACCAGTGGTGTTCCTGGCCTGTTTATCCGCTCCACGGATTCCGAGGGCATTGGCACACTCTTCAGCTGTCCTTGCATCCCAGGCAGCATCGTCCACTGGTAGTGGCACGCGTATTTCATAAACATCAAACTTAGGCGCGCAATTGAAGAACATGACGAGAGCAGCATCTAATAAGAAAATGAGATACAGTGCTCTAGACCTCTTTTCTTGCTCCACCCATGTGCTCCAGCTCCATCCATTCAGTTCACGAACATCGAGACCTCCGGGTTGATGAAGAATGCTGAAGCCAGGTTGGTCTCTTAGTATCGGATTGAGCAAGTTCATGTGTCGTACAATGTTGACCAGGTTGTCGTACTCTTCTCTGGCTTGCGTTCGTTGCTGACTATCCCCGTGCCACGTGAATAGCGACTGAAGTAATAATAGCGATTGAAGCTCTTCGATATCGGAAATGGGGCCGAGGTTGATATTTGCGGAAGAACTTGTATTCAGAAGCGCGTGAATGTGCGACGAGCGGTAGACCGAGGACTTGACAAGCTCCATCAGCCAACGCACTTGCGGAACATTTAGCTTGTCCGAATACACCGCGCCGATAGTAATCATGGTCAAAAGGAGGCCGTTGTTAGCGGCAAGTGGATTGAATGTTGGTACGTGAATAATGGGCCAGTGACTCTGAAAGTTTCGAAATTCGTCTAAAAAGTGGCGGAGATTGTCGACTGTAAGAATCGCCTTCAAACTCTCTTGGGAATCGCTAGAGCCGGGTGCGACTAGAGAGGGGTCCGGATAGCAGAATGCTATTAAAGCGTCCGCTTTATTCTGTAGCGGATCAGACGGGCCGATTACCCAATTATCAAAAATGGGAGTGGTGTCGACGAACCCAGCAGTGTTGGAATAAAGGCCGTTGAACATGGCGTCGTGTGGAGGTTCATTGGAGGCCTGAAATTGGTTTACAGTCAGATCGGTAGCGGCGTTGGCGGGATTTGGACCACTCGCCATACTGGAAGAAAGCATAAACCCGTCTTGCGCCTCCTGATGGAACTGATTTGACCATTTCGCGTCATGTTCTTGCCCATTGGCCAGCCCGTCAATATTCGGGAGACTTGGACGACCGCCATACATTGAGTTTGGCTCCTCAGTTTTGGCGATCATGTTTTGCGCCATGTCAGCGCTCGAGGCCGGCGCGTAACTAAAGGCGTTGGGGTTGTTCGGCATCTGCCCCGCGGACTGGCCTGGCTGGGTGTTGTAAGCATGCAAGTTGGCAAGATTGCCCGATAAGCTCGACGTCCTGTAGTCAGTACTACCGTCGTAACCAACCCGACTATTCTGAAAGTCGATACCCGAGAGGCTTCTGCGGTTGTCGTCGACACCGGTTCCCGGTCGGATCAAGCTGTTTGATCTTGACGTTCGCGCTGACATCGATGCGAGATTGTCCGAGTAAGATTGCTCCGAGGGCATCGAAGGCAGCCCACTAAGAGCGTTACCTCCGTATGAACCGTCGTTATACGGCATGGAGGTATTAACAGAGTTGAGGAAGCTCTGCGCATCCGACCCAGATGCTGATAGCCTATTCTTACGAAGGTGAGACTGCGAGTTCGCAAGATGATTCTGGCCGGTTGGGTTACCGCGGCGAATGGAGCATTTCTGAAAGTGGCGCTTCAGAATATCACTGCGCGAAAACGTATCTTTGCACAGATGGCATTGGTAAGGACGCTCTCCAGTGTCTGTCCTAGGTTAGTATCCATGGACGAGGTGAGGAGTGGAGTTTGATGAGAGTGGGAGTAGGCTGCATTATTGCAGAACGTATGAGGTCTTGTGAGACAGGAAACTGAGACCTAACTAGGAGAAACGTATTGGAAAGGTACAGAATGAAAGAGACGACCTACGCCTAAGCAAGTGGCGCTTCAGGTGCTTCAAGTGGAGATATGTCTTGTTGCAATGCGGGCACTCGAACTTGTTCTCTGCATTCTTGGTTGGGTTTTGCGGCGCCTTCCCGACAGCCGGCGCAGGTCGGCCTGGATGGGTAGGCAGCACGCCGCGACGTCCCTGCTGTCCGACCACATGGACTGGTTCTGCCTCTTGGTTCGCGAGTAGCGGAGGGTGCGAGTACTGATTGAGCTGGTTGTTGAGGCCGAGCCCGCCCTGTCGAAGATCTTGCAGAGAGCCGGGCGTCGGCGCGGGCGCCAATGGATGAGGGTTCGACTGTGTGACAGACACGGGGAGAAGGCCAGGCTGGGAGGTGCCGTATAACGAGTATGACGAGGGCGTCGGCTGTATTGGCCTCAGCGGCGGGTGTGGAGCGATGGGAGGGATCGCAGTGTTGTGGTTCGAAGCGGCCGAGGAGGAGGGCGGATGGGCAGAGATGGGCGTGTGAGGGTTGCTGTTGGTGTTCTGGCCGTACGACTGGGCATATTGTGATGCGTTACCGTTCAGCGGCGGCAGCGTGTGGAGATGGCTTTGTGGGGCGTGGTACTGTGGAGCCAGGGGCTGATACTGAGGTCCGCCCTGCGTCGGCATGCCATTGGGACGGAAGCGATCGTCCATGCTAGATGGTCAAGGAAATGTAGAGCCGCGCAACCAGAAGATGGAGTGGTGAGGGCAACCATCCGCTGCTCCCGGCCGGAGTGAGCTGGGACGGGGGTGGAGAGGGGTGAAGCTGGAGGCGGTCGTGATGTGCACGGCGGGAGGCTAGCAGATGTGGAGTGGAGTGGGTGAATGAGGCGGAGAGGTTTGGTGAAAAGTTTGGTGGGTGCTTAGGAACAGGTGGGTCGCGCAAGAGCCAGCACGAGTGGCGACGTCAGGACCGAGGGACCTTGGGGCAAGAGTGAGGGGTGGCGGCGCACGGGGCCTGGCGATACCTAGGTACGGGCCTGTGGTGGAGGATGGGTGGAAAGAAGCTTCACAAGCTCCGGTCGTGGTGTTGAGGTCTCAAGCTGGCCGTGACGCGGGTCGAGGGACGGACAAGGGATTTGGTGCAGATCGAGGCCTGGGACCCACTACTCGCATCAGCCTCAGCCGCGCAGAGTGGAGCGTTCAGCACGAGGCTACCAGGGACACGGCCGACACACGCTTCGAGGGCAGCGCCAGCGGGATCTGAGGCAATGGTGGTGAGGGGGCAGGCTGGCGGGCAGGTGGGACAGCGAACGAGGAAAATTTCAACCGGCTGGAGGCAGCGAGTCGCCGATTGCGGGCAAGACGACGCGGGCTAGCACACCACTGGTACCCCGAGCAGACGAGGTTGTCGGCGCAACGCAACGAGCAGGCTGACCGGAGGAGGCCGACGTGGACAGGGCTGGCGGGAGGATGGAGGTGAGAGACGGGTGAGGAGGCGTGTGCAGTCGATGTCAAGAGGCGACGGGCACTCGTCCGATGGGCGAGATGCGGCAACGTCCAAGGTACGGCTGGACTGGGGCAGAGACGAACACAACAACGGGGCGAAAGAGACGGGAATAGCAGAGTCTCCGCAGACGCGGCAATGCCAGGCACGTGACGGGCAAGAGCTGCTCGTGCGCGAGATGCCTCTTGGCCGGCCTGCCTACAATATCTGCGACAGCGGCCCGGTGACGAGGCGCGAGCAATTTGTGTGGCCGGCTGCCGCGCAAATCTGGCGATGCGGTTTAGGGCAAGCTGATCGCGCCGGAAGAGGCACTGCAGGGGCGCTCGCCGCCTCCAATCAGGCGGCTGAAGCGGTGACGGCGGCGATGCTTGGCGCGAGGTGGTGAGAGTTCTGATGAGGTGTCGCGGCCTGCAGCACGCCTCAGCGCAGCGGCAGGGCACACAGACTTTGCCGAAGCCACTGCCGCCGGATCGAAGCGCTGTAACTGGCGTAGCCGGCCTGCAGCGCCCTGAAGCGGTTAGCAGCGCGAGCGATCCATGCAGGTCTTCGGCTCGACCGGCAGCGAACAGAGCCCCGAGTCTCAACCGTGGACGCCCCGGCCTGCCACCCGATCGCCAGCTTCACGTCCGCAGTCCTGTTGCCATCCTGACGCTGGAGGCGTCTTCTGCCTCGACACCGACACGGCTGCACCGCCGCTCCTCAGCTTCGTCCACGATGCCGCCCGGGCCGACTGAGCGCCCTGGAGCCAGCAGACCCTCGCTGCAGGGCATTCCGAGGTGGCTGGCGTGGCCTCCCCGATTCGGCCTCCCGACGGCATCGTGGCGGCCATCCACCCATCCACCGTAGCCGCCTCTGAGTGGCCGAGCGCTGTCTCATCTTTGTGCGTCTGATGCCAATGGCAGCGCCGGCCTGCGCCTTGGCCTGGCTGCTGTTTATTTTATTCATCGCTCCAGCGGCTTTGTTTTCACCTCAGAGAGACATCCGTTATTCCCGCGAGCATGCGGTGTGACGGCAAAAACGCCTCTTCCGGTATCCCTCCCACACGCACCACCACCACGAGTCTTTTTCAATCCTCAGCCGGCCGCCCTACTGCCTTTGTAGCATACAGAGTAGAGCGCGTGGTGCGCGTGTTTCAGCATATGTGCTCGTCGTATGCGCCTCCAATACGTGGACAAAGCTGCTTCGAGGCCGAATGGGATCCTATGCCAGGATCCGTTGAACATAGAGTGGCAGCTCGACACCGTCTGAGGTGGCCTGGTACGTTATTAAAACTGTGAAACGACAGTTTTGGCAAGTCTGGTCGCTCACCAGGCCACCTCAGACAAGGCAAGTCAGCCGAGGTACATGGGGGAGGTTAGTTGAGCTGCGTCCTCTCAGACACTGCTAGGCAAGTCTACACAGCTCTACACTTGTAGAGGGAGTGCGTATTTGAAGGAAATACCACTTTTCGTTCAAGGAAGCCTGCATGCCAACACCAACATGATGCCTGTACAGCACTCCCACTCTTGGCCGAACCGCGGCCTGCAACACCGTGCACCGGTCAAGAGACGTTCGTACCGGGATCTCGGGACGCACTAGCCGCTCTGAAGCACGTCGTCATCCTTCGTGTGAGGCTCTCGCGACGGCGTATTCTGGCCTTGTCTAAACGGCGCCTAATGGGCGCCTTCCATGACTCCCTCCAGCCGGCCTCTCCTAGGACAAACTTACATCCCTGAAAGACCTCAATGAACCTTCCTTCGTTGTTCTAGACGGCGCAACATGCATCATGCTAACAGAAATATCGCACTCGAAACCCAACGCGCATCGCGTTCATTGAGTTTGTTGAGATTTAGAACGCGTTCGATGGTCTATTCTAGGAATAGAGACCTCGACAAGTCTCGACAAATCTTTCCTCGTAGTTCTAGACGGCTACGCGGGGCATGAAAAAGACGGCGCTCTGAATTTAGGACAGACCGCCGTGGGTGTAGGCGTGCTTGCCACTGCTTGGGGTACCTAATACATTTTTAGAAAACGAACGAGATAGAAGCTTCTAACTTTGGATTATGTGGAAACTTGTTGAAGCACTTCAAGCAGTGGCAGAGACGTGTCACCAAAGACCTTTGTCACGCCCAGCATGCTTCCTGCAGCTCTGCTGATTTTATTAATGGTCACGACGCGTTCCATAACCTAGCTTAGGGAAGACGAGCCGAAATATAGGCCTCGACAAACCATCCTACGCTGTTCCAGACGGTGCAGCATATCCTCCAAATACTCATCAACACCCAGAACGCCACCTTCAGTACAGCACCTGGAAACCAGTCTCAGCACACTAGCTTGCCACTGTCTGGGGTGTTCCGCCATAGCATCAGTAATCCGGATGTGATGAAAAGGCCTCTAGGACGTAAACGAGGAATTGGTCAGAGTACTCCTAGTGGTCTCCTCATGTTACTGTTTCAGCAGATTATTAAAGATTTGGAAAGGCTCTCATACCTGCTACGCAGGGCATGTAAAAAGTGGTACTCCTAGTGTGTACACGCGTATGCCACTGCATGGGCTGCTTCAGTGCATTATCAGAGATTTGAGCGTGATAGCAGATCTTCGTCTTCGGCAATTTGAAAAGTCGTTGAAGCCCTTCAAGAGCTAGCAGACAGGTGTACGCACAGAGGACTTTTAGAGTGCACCACTTTCTTCTCGCTCAGCGTGCTTGCTCTTGGTGACTGGTTTGGAAAGTCTTGGCCGCCAAGAAGACCCTGAGTATTGAGTCGAGAGTAACTGAGTATTTCGTATATTCGAGGTTTCGACCACGTTTTCACACCTAACTCAACAACCACAACTCGTAGTACAGAAATAAAACCAGACTTCGAAGAGTCTTATCTGGGAGAACAGTTTGTGAAGTTTTGGAAAAATGCTTCTCCCATTCCATTGCAACGAGGGTGGGAACCGTGAGCTGAGTTAGAAAAAGTCGAGCGACATTACCAAAATAAGTCCGGGCGTGGCGTCCAGAAAACACGAAATTACTTACATTACTAGGACGTTAGTTTAAGATACTGCTTTAACGCCGCGTGTACTGTTTCAAAAGGCTGTGGCTAGTGCAAAGGGGATTCAAATCTATGAATATAAATTGCTCGGACACAATGAGCTAGCGAAACAAGGTGCCCAATTTCATCCCAGTACTACACGTACTGTACGCTAAGGTTCAAGTTTCCTGACGCTAGAATTGATGTATGTACAGCTATTGGTACAACGCGATCCGATTACGGTTTCTGCGTCGACGTGTGAGTTAGCCCGCGCTCGAAATAAGACCACTGTCCCTCTGGCGAAGGCTCAACCAGACTCTCCCATCTGGTCGTTATATTAGTCACGTGATAGTAATTCCTGGGGATTCATCCTTACGCTTTTGACTCAATGATTTTTTCTACCAATAAGCGCTCGCCGTGCGCAACTTGAATGACCTCCTCGATCAGTCCTGCTCCAATCTCGCCCTCAATTTCCGAGATCCTGTGAAATGTCAGTACTGGCCCTTGCAACAGCTCAACGCCTCGGATAGAGCGAAACTTACTCCTCTGCCGTCAATTGCGGCTCCGGGTCCGCCACAATCTTCACCACCGTATCCGGGGTCAATGGCCTCTTTCCTGCCATGCGTGCAGCCTGGTTACGCCTCGCGCTCTCCTCCCCAGGACCCTCCCTCATCGGTGTCTCTTGATCCTCGCCATCCCACTCCACCTCGTTTTCATCCCGCTCCTCAGGCTTCGCCGGGATTGTGGCAGCATATGGTGTCCCCTTCGGCGTGAACTGGACACCCTCGAAAGAATGCGGACTGTCGGCAATCTGAGAGTGCACCTTGTCTACCCATGCGTCGAATCCCGCGGGCTTCCGCGCCTCGACGATGGCTAGCCGGTGCTTGGTGAGAGCCTCGGTAGACTGGCGGTATATAGAGGACTCGGGGATCTGCTGCAGCTTTTCGAGGGTCGAGCTGTAGAGGTATATGAGGGTCGACCGTGGCGACGGGTGGGTGGAGAGGCCAGTGAGGCCGGTGGGTGCGCCGGGCTCCAAGAAGCGGGCGCTCTTGACGTTGGCTAGAAGCCGAAAGGCAGCCCTCATTGCGGCGGTTGGTCTGAGGGCGTGGCGAGGGTCAATTGGAGGTTGAAGCGGTGATGGATGACGGAGCTGTAGACGTGAAGTCGCAGTTGGAGGCTCTTGGCGCTTGCGCTAGTGACTTTCGAGGATCTCCAAACGTCGAAGTCCGCCGCGGATGCAACTTCAAGGAGGTCTGCGCCTATTCACTTCCTGAACACTCCTCGCAACTCACTGTACTAGGCCTCTGTGCCCTCGATAACCCTCAGTCGCCGCGCCTGCTGTCCAGCCCAATCCTCGGACTACCTGCGTGCGCAACCGCCAGCAGCCCTCCTTTCACGGGGGATCGCCGCCTACCCACCAAGGACCACATCTCCAGCCCACCTCCGCCATGCGCTTCCTTTCGTACGCCCTCATATCGCTGGCGACTGTGGCCTCAGTCATTGCCGCAGACCCAACCAAAAATGCGGACGAGGTCAAGATACAGACAGCGCCGGCCGCGAAGCCCTCCGATGACCTAGATGAAGTGCCACAAGATACAACATTTAATAGCCAAAAGGTGCCACCGATGATAGACTTCGAGCCAGGAAGTATCGAAAAGGAACTTCCCACAGGATACTGGTAATTCCATCACTCCAATACTCTTCGACTGCGATTAACATGTGCCAGGCTTGTGGAATACTTCTCTCCAATGTGCGTCCACTGCATGAGGTTCAAGCCAACATGGCAAACCTTATACGAGTACTATTACACTTCGAAACCACTCGGCGCTCAGAAGAGCTCCGACGCCCTCAATTCCTTCACCCGCTACTACAACTTCAAATTCGCCAGAATGAATTGCATTGCCTATAGGGATACCTGCTCCGCAAAGAACGTTGAGAACTTCCCAACCATCGCACTTTATAAGGACGGCGAAGAAGTCAAGAAAGTCGTTGGAGAACAGACACTTGCGCAACTGAGTAAATGGGTGGAAGAAACTCTCGAAACTATCCGTCCTGGATCCCGACCTGCGGACGGTCCTGCCCTTCCAGAAGTTGGCGCTAAGAGAATAGATCCAGAGGCCAAGCCAAAAATCGCAGAGGAAAAGGACAAAGACCCTGCCGCTGGATCCGCCGCAGCCTCGAAGCACATGGAATTGGCCACACCAACGGCACCTTCAAAGGGAGAGCCAACAAAGGCTAAAGCCACGCCTAACCCATCTGGGATATCCGTAGCCCTCACTGCTGAAAAGTTCCAGAAACTCGTCACCAACTCACGCGATCCGTGGTTCGTCAAGTTTTATGCACCCTGGTGCCACCACTGCCAGGCCATGGCCCCTAATTGGGCGCAAATGAGCAGGGAAATGCAGGGGAGATTGAACATCGGAGAAGTCAATTGCGATGTTGAAAAGAGGCTATGCAAAGACGCGAAGGTCAAAGGCTACCCAACCCTTTTCTTCTTCAGGGGTGGAGAACGCGTTGAATACAATGGCCTCCGTGGAATTGGTGACCTACTCGACTTCGTCAACAAGGCCGTTGACATTGGATCTGGCGTCATGGATGTTGACTTCGACTCGTTCAAGGAGATGGAGGAGACCGAAGAAGTCATCTTCCTTTACTTCTACGACCACGCCACCACCAGCGAGGACTTCCAGGCCCTAGAACGTCTCACCCTGAGCTTGATAGGTCACGCAAAGCTTGTGAAGACCAACGACCCTCGCCTATCCGAGCGCTTCAAGATTTCCACCTGGCCCCGCTTCATGGTCTCCCGCGACGGCAAACCAAGCTACTACACCCCCCTCGCACCCAAGGACCTGCGCGACCACCGTAAAGTCCTTACCTGGATGAAATCCGTCTGGCTGCCCATCGTTCCCGAGCTCACTTCCTCCAACGCGCGCGAAATCATGGACGGCAAGCTCGTTGTACTCGGTATCTTGTCCCGCGAACGTTCCGACGAGTTCATCCTCTCCAAGCGTGAGATTAAGAACGCGGCTATGGAATGGATGGACAAGCAGGCGCAGATGTTTCAGCTCGAGCGCCAAGAACTTCGCAATGCAAAACAGCTGCGTATCGAGGAGGCTGAGGACCGCAACGACCAGCGTGCGCTACGAGCTGCGAAAAGCATCCGCATCAACATGGATGAGGTCGAGCACAAGAACGTTGGATTCGCGTGGGTTGATGGCGTGTTCTGGGAGCGCTGGATTCGGACGACGTATGGCATCTCGGTCAAGGATGGTGAGAAGGTCGTTATTAATGATGAAGATGTGAGTTCGCTCTTTTCCCATAAAAGCCAAAAAGCTACCTACCCTACTGACACACCCGCAGAACCGCAAGTACTGGGACCTAACAATCAACGGCGACCCAATCCGCCCCTCGCGCACGTCTATCCTCGAGACACTCAAGAGCATCGTCACTTCGCCACCGAGGATCACCCCGAAATCCACAACCGGCGCCATCGAGCGCTTCTTCTTCCAACTGCGCGGCGTGTTTGGCTCGCACCCCTGGCTCGCCGTCGGCGTACTGCTCGGTTTCCTAGGCGCCGTGGGCGTGTGGGGGAGGGGCAGGATCAGGAAAGGGAGGGTATGGGGAAGTGGCGGGTACTTCCAACTTAATGAGAAGGACGGGCTATTAGGTGGTGGAGCTGGTGGTAAGGTGGATTAGGGGACTCAGTTGAGGAAGAATAGCGATGGGAATGGAGAGAAGGGGTGTGTGTGCGGCAGCACGGGGTGTTCTGCGCTCTTCCCTGTGTCTTTTTGTAGAATTACATGTTATCCGATTGGGGATGGGATGCAGCTGAACACATTGGCGTTGGGGTAGGAAGATCGGTCAGGTTATATTAATGTTATTTTTATTCTGATTATACGATGCGCGCTACGAGTGCTGTTGCTGATGTTGGTTGAGGTGATCATGCTAATGAGGTAGGTTGCTGGGACTGTCTCCATGGGCAAAGGAGCAGTGCCCGCTGTCCACGTGTATTCAATCCTAGTTGGTCCCTCCCTCCTTTTCTTCCTCGCTCCTAATCCGTCAGGGGTTCATGCGTCGGTGGTACGATGGGATTAATGTGGTAGTCCTGTGTAATCGCACGAGTATCCACAAGCCGGACTGTTCAGCGGCATAGAACGAAACAGTGGGTAGAATATATGCGCTGGGTCTATTCTACGCCGTCTCTCTACAGAAACACATTACTGTGAACTCTAATTTCCATCAAGCTGCCTCTTCCTCGTTCTCTCCCGCAACGACAGGACCCCTCTCCGAGTCCGCCGACCCCAACTTCTCTACCTCGCCCGTCTTGCTCATGCTGTATCCAAAGCACAGCCCGGGGTGGAACGCATTCAGCAACACCGTCGCCAGCGCACACATCCTACGCACTCCTGTTAGCCTTATGCGCGAGAGCGCCTTCATATCCCACCACACCACAAAAAGCTCAACCCAAGTAAAGAAAGAGAACTCACCCCGAATCTAGCCCCAAAAACAAGTCTTCATCCCGCATAATCGTACTCCCCCAACCCTTACTCATCTCCGCAATCCGATACACACACCGCAACAACACCGCCGTATACGCCACCAGCACGGCCACCAGGAAACACCGAAACCGCGTGCTCGCGCGCAGCGGCTCTGTCGCGGGGTTCAGCTCCCCGCGGTGCGTGCGCACGCGCGTGAAGTACTCGGCCGTCAGCAGCCCGAAGACGAGCAGCGTGAAGACTTGGAACGAGAGCCCCGCCATCATGGTGTCGTTGCCGGACGTCATCAGCGGGCCGGGCTGCGAGGCGATCGAGGCGAGGATCCCGCCCACGCCTTGCAGGATGATGGAGACGACGTCACAGGAGATGAAGGTGTGGGTGTAGCGGGAGGGGCGGAGGCGGGAGAAGGCCGGACCGAAGGTTAGGACACTGGGGAAGGAGAGGAGGTTAGTGGGAGACGAGCTTTGGATTGTGGGTGATGGGGGTGGGGAAGCGTACAGGTGCTTCAGCGTGAGATAGATCCCGGCGGCGAAAAAGGCGGGAGCGATGGTTAGGAGGCAGATTTGGAGTTTGAAGCCTGAGTCGGAGAAGGGGTCAGAGTGGAGCATTATGCGGCCGCCGTAGCCTGGTATCAATTAGCATTCCGTTTTTTTTTTGAGAGTTTGGAGAGAATCCGGGGAGAGGGACGGTGAGGAAGGGACGGGAGAGGAGGAAGCGGGGAATACCGATTGCTTCACACAGATTCCCGATTGTCATAGCGATGAGGAAAGTCCAGGTCTTGTATCGGTAGCCTTGGATGCCATGAATGACCATACTGACGGCGAAGATGACGAGGAAGGCGGTGTCGGCAGCGAGTTGGGGTGCATAGCCGTAGATGGTATCGCTGATGGGACACGTTTCTTTTGTGCAATGTTCAGGCATTGTGGGAGGCTTTGACAGGGGGCAGGGGGTAGGAGAGGGGTGAAAGAAGCGTGAGATATTAGATCTGGAGGATGAATCTATTGTCTAAACGGACGATATGAGAGAAACATTGGAGTGGAAAACACTGGCTGGTAGGAATGGTACCCCAATAGATTAGAAACAGGTTGTTCGAATTATATACTCATTCCTCATGTCAGAAATAGCTCACGATAGCGTATACCCTGTTATTAAATGTCTCCATTCTGACGTCGAAACCAGAGAATCGAGTGCGCAGTCTAAGATGGTTTGGCACAGCAGTGCCTCGAGTGCACTCTATACAAGGCGCGGACATCGTTCTTCAGCGGTTTGAAATCGACATTAGTGCGAGCTGCGACCTAGGTCCGTGGTCTTATGATGGTGTTGATTCTCTTACGTGCGTACCGTGGTTGGGTGTCTTACGTACGAAAGATGACTGGCGCGCTAACATAGCACCCTACCCTAGACAGTTTGTTACCTAGGTAGTATCTAATAAGTATGTCTATGGTTGGGCGTTCGCGCATCCCTAGACTTGAAACCATTGTAACCAGAAGTTTGTATAGAATTTAAGGCAACGCTTCTCATTATCTCAATCTAGTCATATGTGTTAATACTATCCTGATCACTTCGTCTCGTCAATCTTAAGCTCTACCACCTTCTTGAAGGCCATGATCGCCCTTCCGTCCGTTGCCTGCAGCCATGGCTAGATGGATCATGTCTGCTGTAGGATCTTCTCATTGGAGATATACTAAAACCTATCGTAGAGCAGATCTCATGACTTAGACTTTCTTGTCAGCACCATAGAAAAGCTTCGTTAGCTGTAAGCGCTAGTTGCTTCAAAGACTCCTCTTCATCGAAACTTGCGATATATTAGTTGCCGTATGGGTTGGAGTATCTCCGGGTATTCTGCCCTCATCCCTGCTAACATTTGTCCAACCCAATAGCAGGCACTCTGCGTCACGCGCGAGATTGAATTGTAGCTCTACCTCTGGAAGTCAAACGTCCACTGCGGCGGTTTTTCGGGCATGCTGAATGGATGCGTAATTTAGCACAAGTAAGGAGTATTGACCGTCCCATTGCGTGTCCAAAAGTTGTGTTTGCTGTACATTATCTGCAGTTGTACCTACAGAAACCTCGCGCCCAGCCATCTTTGCGGCGCCGGCCAGAGACATGGATATAACAGCTGAACTCATATGGGTGTCTTAGCCAGATCGGGAAAGAAACCCGTGTTAAGTGTTGCGCTACAAGTGTTGTGTTATGGGATCTCCTAGTCGCCGTCGGTTTCGATCTCTACGATTAGGTCTTGGTCGGGACGCTGAGAGGAGACGAAGCGGTGGTCGTGAGGCCTAATGAGCTGCCTCGTCCCGGGCTACCGCTGGTGCTGCTTCTCCCTGCTTTGATCCCTTTTCGTCAATTGACTGTCCGTGCGACATTGTCCCAGTAAGTGTGATGTGTAGAGGTCGGTGTGTATGCCCTCTTTGCGGCCCGGCGTTCGGATTCGCGCATTCGACGCGTTTGGGAGTGCTCTCTATTGATACTGAGCGCGGGAAAGAGTTGTTGAAGGTCTCGAAGCATGCGCCGTTATTCCCAAAGCTAAGATTTGACCGTTTGGACGAGTTGAGGAAGTGGCTGGGGCTATCGAAGTCTCGTCGTGATGCCGTTCGTCATCCTCGCATCTCCCTCTCCGCACCTTCCTGCCACGTGCTTTACTCGAACGGGAAAGTCTTGGCAGTCGCGAGGGTGTTAAAAAAGTGTGGAGTCCTATGCACCCACCTCTAACATTTCGACGCGGAAGGTGTTCTCCTCCAAAACTTGTTCAAAAATACTAGTCAGCCGTGCGAGTTACGTCCTGGTGTCAAATCCGTGATAGGAGGTGTGGTTGTTGAGCTATCTGTGAAAAGGTGAGAAACCGACGCGAGCCTCCAAAATCTGGCTTCTGGGGGCTGTCCTTTTCTGGCAAGTCTTGGCGCCGAAGGTGAGCTTCAAGGTGTAGAGCGCTGTAGACCCCCCTCTAACCCGGTGAAATGAAGCAATCACTACTCCACGACTTCCTCAAAAATAGTATTTGGCCGGGCGAGTCGCGTCCCGCTTTCAGATTTGTGCTACGACGTGTGGCTGTTGACCTGTCTGCGAAATGGCGTAAATGACTGCGGGAGACTCGAAAATTGGGTTCGGCTTCTCAGGTTTTTCCGTAGCCTTCTGCCACCGCCCACCTCTTCCTCTTCCGGTAACCCTTGGCGGCGACAAAAAGTGTTGAGTCCAGAAGAGGTAAAATGACCTGGTTCGGGGTTTCGAAGCCAACACCACCTTTTCTAAGATAGCTCAACAACCACAACCCGCAGAACAGATCTGACACCGGGAGGTGATTCACCTGGCCAAGGAGTATTTTTCAAGAAGTTATGGGAAGGATATCTCTTGCTAATGGAAAGATAGAGGGGGGTTCGAGAGGTTGGAGGTAGAAGAAATCTCACCCGACGGGCCAGTAGGCTTACAAAACCATCAGATTCGAGCTTCAAACTATCAAAAACGGTCCTAACCTCGCATCTAAGAGACTACAAACACCTACTTGACGATTCTACTCCCCCTAGGCCCTGCGCGCTCTACGAAAAAGATCATAGAAAAACACAGCGGACGACTCACGACCGCACCCCGCACCCACCAAGCGTAGTATTTCACAATGGACGTCGCAGTGGCATTCACAATGGACAGGGCAAAGAACGTGTTGCTGTCAGTTCAGGAAAGGTGTCTCTGACTGCCTGGGCATGATGCACACTGTGGTATAGAAGAAGGACGAAGCTCACAGCACTCAGGATAAAGACCAGGAGCCACAGCTCGGTCCAGGTTCCCCAGATTTTCCTTGCTTTCAGTGGAGACACGGTGCAGCATTATCCGAGCGGGATGCCGCATTTGTCTCCCCGGCTGCCCCGTCTCGAGGCTGGTGTGCTCTTTTCCCCTCTACCCCATTGCCTCATTGCCAACACGGCCCGCATAAAGACGACTGCACCGCGCCACTCATCATGGCCGAGAAACGCATCCAGCTTTCTCTCGAACTCAAGACTACAACCTCCCACGCCTTCGAGAAGGTTACGTTCCACGACACCGGCAAGACTAAGCTCGTTGAACGACCCAACGCTAGTTCTGGCACGGCTTCCATATCGTTGACTACCAAGCCCTACGAGTACCGCGCGGACCGCACAATCGACGGCAAAGCGCTAGCCTCTCGCTCATCCCTCTCTAAATTCCAAAAGAAAAACACAACCTACGACACGAGCCAGCTCTAGCAAACACGTATCAACCACGGCCTCTACATCACGATGTCCACGGCCCCCCAACCCCTCCGCATCGCCATCGGCAGCGACGAAGCCGGCGTCTCCTACAAAACGGCCATCAAAGCCGACCTCGAAAAGAACCCCCTCGTGGCCTCTGTCACCGACGTCGGCGTCCCCGAGTCCTCGGACAAGACCGCCTACCCCCACATCGCCGTCGACGCCGCCAAGCTCATCTCCTCGGGCGCCGCGGACCGCGCCATCCTCATCTGCGGCACCGGGCTCGGCGTGGCCATCTCCGCGAACAAAGTGCCCGGGATCCGCGCGGTCACGGCGCACGACAGCTTCAGCGTGGAGCGGGCCGTGCTGAGCAACGATGCGCAGGTGCTGTGTATGGGGGAGCGCGTGGTGGGGATAGAGCTGGCGAGGCGGCTGGCGAAGGAGTATTTGGGGTATAGGTTTGATACGAGTAGTCCGAGTGCGGCGAAGGTGCAGGCGATTATGGATCATGAGACGAAGAATTACGCGAATTGAAGGGAAGGAGGGGAAAGGAAGACGGTTTCAGGGGGAATAAGCGGGGGGATTTGGGGGACGCTGTGGGTTGTGTCGTTGGAAGAAAGAATGGTCGTCGTCGTCAATGAGATTGCGTAGCGAAAAAATAACGTGGCTCCTGTTTTGGATGGTATTGGGATATCAGACGCAGTATACAAATTAAAACAGAAGAGAGATCAATCTATTTGAGTTCAATTTACCAGGAAAACAAAGCGTGGTAAGAAATGAACTCATAAAAGCGCAATATGTACAAATGGTCCGAATCCCATTACGTCGTCTTACCAAATAGTCCTAAGTCGCAACATCAACACCCAGACAACGCATAACCATCCTCACAACAACACAGTGGAAAATAAGACTGCTACACAATCTTACGCCTTCGCAGCAAGCGCCTCCCTCCTAGAAGTACTATTGGGGTCTAAGAAAGGCCTCTCGCCTAGCCCAACCGCACGATTCCCAAAGCGCTCACCCAGCCCCTCGTAATCGTACGTAGCCGTATGGAACACGCTACGGTTATCCCAGATCGCTATAGCCGCACATTAGCAAAATCCTTCTCACTCCACACTTGCACAACCGCATCGAGTCAACTCACCAATATCATTCGCATTCCTCCACCGGAACCGAACCTGCAAATCATGGTTGTCGACCAACAGCTTCAGGAACCAGTCTAGCAAGCTCTTGCTCTCCTGCTCCGTCACGCCGTTGACGTACTTGACGTGGCCGCCGACGGGAAACAGGCTGCGCCATCCGGTCACGGGGTTGGTGCGCACGACGGGGTGCACGGCTTTGAGCTCGCCGCCGACGTTTTCGGGGGCCCCGCGGGCTTTGTCGTAGAGCTTGAAGCCGCCGCGCTCAGCGACGGCGTTGAAGCCTGGTTGCGCGAAGGTGGCGGTTAGGGAGGAGACGAAGGCTTGGTAGGGGGCGGAGAGGCGGTCGTAGAGCTCGTAGCCGGAGGCCCAGAGGGTGTCTGGGGGATGTTAGAATTGGGTGCGAGATTGAGGTACGAAAGATTTGAAAGAGGATTTGAATGGGACCATCGAAGGAGATAACGGCCATAGGAGATTATTGTACATACCTCCGCCAGTCTTGGGTAGCTGTGTCAGACGAAGGCTGGTATAATCGGCTGGCACAGGCTCGAACGCGATGTCGCTGTGCCAAACGGCGCTGCTGCTCTGCTTCTTCGTGCTGACGTCCAACTGGGTGTTTGCGTAGATCTTCTTGTTCTGGACAGAGCTGATGGTGCTGATTTGGGGGTCATCGCCGCCGAGTTCGCGCTCGGGGTTAAGAATGGGGTGGATATGGAGAGTGTTTGCCGCGGGGCGTCCAGTGAGCTGACCGAGTCGATTGATGAGAGTCTTTTGGAGCTCATTTGTGAGGTTGTCCTGAGCTCTGAAGAAGACGACGCCACGTTCGGAGACTAAGCGGTGTCAGTAGCTGGTACTCGACGTTGATGAAGAGGGACGTGGGAGAGATGGTGGGGACTCTACACTCACTCTTGATTGCTAGGTCGCGTATAAGCTCATCCGAATTGGGTGCATTGAGCCACTCCACGAGGTTGGCCTTTGGAAATTCGGTCCCAATGACTGGAGTTACGTCGTCTTGTTCGAACTTGTCCAATAGGCCTGCCGACTTCAATGGTCCATTCCTCAAGCTGAGCTTCTTGGCTTCAATGTCAATAGCGGGCTCTGCTGATACTGCGGAAGGTGCCATGTTTGCGGATTCGTAGTCGTTGTTGGTGGCTTCTTGATGGATCTTCTGGAGAGTTACCAGCTAAGAAGGCATTCTCGCACGGACTACTTATACTATTGCAGTATCAATACTGACCCGGGTAGTCGGCATTGGCATTGGGTAAAGTTCGTTTGGCGTCCGCTGTGACTGGATAGAATTACAGAATGGTTGTCTAGAAGCATTGATGATAGCCGGGCAGTATGGCGTGAACGTGGGGAAAGAGGGGTCTGATATGACTTCGGCATCACGAGAACACGCGTAGCGGTGGAGTTCCCGGGAGTATTTGTGGTTGAGATTAGCTCATTCTTTCTTTTCGCGTATCTTGTATACGGCTCGGGTTCGGAGCTTTGCAATAGAGAAAGAAGATTGGATCATCTCGTTGCTAAGCAAAGTCACGCCTTACGCTATGTGGACCATCGTGCCTCAGGTTACTAGTTTCTTGGGCCTCCTAGTCGAGATCATGGATGTAGTTGGAGTGAATACCACTTGCAAATGGGGAAACGAGAGCGAGACCAATTGGGGAACATCGAGCGGAACTGAAAGATAGGCGACACCAGACCCCTCAGTCAGAGGTACAGAAGATCCAGGCCCTGAATGGCTTCATTGACGAATGGGATGGGGATGATGTGCCGACGTTGGGGAGCACGCAATTGACAGGGAATGTTGGATAATATTGATACACGAAGACTGTAGAAAACGACTCTGCGCGCGACTGAAGCTGCAATTGAATGGTATATGATACCTACAGAGACTCTGCACTCTCCTTCCGCGTTTCCGTTGCTTTTACTCCGAGGTTGGCTTAGCAGTGGTGGGAGAAGGTCGATTGCAATGCGGTAAGATGGAATCGCGAGAAGGCTGAGTGCTACAAGACTGCGTGAAGTGCGGGCATGTATGGTTCTGATATGAGGCTCCTCTTGCTTTTTTCATCCTCAGGGCTGCAGGTGAGGTTGATACGGAAGACGTCTGTTAGTCTGCCATTATGTATCCTCGACATACTCCAATTGGCTTTCCATGAAGCTAATCATCATGGAAGACAGCCCAGTGTGCCCTCGGAGGCCACAGGAGCCACGTCTCTGAACGCAAAGCGAGAGGATAATGAAGCCGCAGATTTGAAATAATAGAGAAAAGCACCTCATGAAAAGCCAGAGTGTCATTAGTGACAACGAAGTGCTGTCGAAGCTTGGGCCAGTAAAAGCTCCTCCGCACCCTTCTTGAGCCTCGGTGTCTCTCCCAAACTAGCCACCAGCTTCCCCACAGTCTCCCCGCAAACACCAACGCCATCATGGCCGCACACCATCAAGCTGTCTGCCTGGATAGCCCCAACAACATCGACCCACCCTGAGACGCCATGGCACCCATAAACTGGACCCCAAAGTTCGCCAAAACTCCCCCTCCCATCAAAGACGCCCAGCTCTCCTACCCCTCTTCCAACATCCTCCTCGTCACCCTCAACCGGCCGAAAGCGCTCAATTGCATCAACAGCAACGGCCATGCCGAGCTCCACGATGTGTGGCAGTGGATGGATGAAGAGCCGGGACTGAGTGTGGGAATCATAACCGGCAACGGGCGTGCATTTTGCGCTGGTGCAGACCTCAAGGGTGCTGTTTTCCCCAGAAGCACAAGAAGGCCGTCTTGTTAATAGGTTCCGCAGAATGGGACACCCAGCACAAATCCTCCTCCCCTCGCCCTATGCCCGCCTCCGGTTTTGGCGCCCTCTCCCGCCGCACCGGCCTCAAGCCGGTGATTGCAGCTGTTAATGGTATCTGCTTTGGAGGCGGCTGTGAGATCATCATAAACTGTGACATGGTTCTCGCCTCACCCACGGCTACCTTTGCCCTTCCCGAAGTCAAACGCGGCGTCGTTGCCATTGCAGGCGCGCTCCCGCGTCTCGTACGGACGATTGGGCGGCCGCGGGCGATGGAGATGGCGTTGACAGGGCGCGTGGTACCAGCAAAAGAGGCGGCCGAGTGGGGGTTGATCAACAAGGTCGTGGACGACGTGGTGGGTGGTGCCGTAGAGCTGGCGAAGTTGATTGCGGAGAACAGCCCTGACGCGGTCATTGTGAGTCGGGAAGGCGTCAAGATTGGCTGGGAAGGGGTGGGCGCGGAAGAGGGCACAAGGCTGTGGCAGGAGCTTTGGTATCCGAGGCTGCTAGCAGGAGATAACATGAGGGAGGGAGTTAATGCGTTTGTGGAGAAGAGGCAGCCGAAGTGGAAAGCGTCGAAGTTGTGAGCTGGCGAAGTTTAAAACAAAAATGGGGTTCGTATATAAGCAGCGGAATCTAATATCAGCCTCTAGGCAAAAGAGAACGTTGAGAATGTTTTCCGCATTCTCTTAGATTTCTGCTCTACTAGCACGCGATATCTCTTCACGTTTCTCGCTTACCAGTTTTCATCGTCGGTCAAATGTTTATACTTAGCCAACATCCCATTCCTCATCTCCTCCCACCACTGCTACGCCGTCACCTCCTGTATCGTCTCGTGCTCCTTAGCCTCTTCTGCATTTCTTACTTGCCCTAACTTCTCCTTCCGGCCCTTATAATGCCTGGCCCCTTTCCGCCTCGACTACTCGAGCTGAACCAGCCCAAACATACCCCCTATCTTGTCTTCTTCTCAAACACATTCAAATGAAACTGCCCCTTCACATTCCCCGGGTCCTGGTAATGGCAGACGGTGTAAAACGCCGGGCTGCCGTCCTCAAACTTCTGCAGCTGGGCGCAGAAATTTGTCGCGCACCCCACGCGCGTCGAGTTGTGCCAGATCAGCTGCGTGTAGACACCCCAGACCCGCGGGTCGGCGTCTGTCTTGTTGTCGCCGTCCCAGGGCGTCGCCTGGCCGAGGTAGGGCGCGAACGCAGCCTCGTGCGATCTGTTGTTCCATATGTCTTGGATGACACTGTCCACGCCGTAGAAGGAGGCCTTGACGGCGATGTTTTGGCCGTAGCCGCCGCCGTCGATTTTGCTGGGGAGGCGGGTTGGGTTAGTGGGTAGGACTTGGGGGTTTTTATTTTTATTTTTTTTTAAAAAAAAGGGTGGGTAGCTTACGCGTTGGGTGCGAAGACGCAGGTCCGGACAGCTTTTATAGCCGTTTCAGTGAGCTTGGCGTCGATTGTCATCAGTGGAATGGGGTACTGGGCGCGAACCCAGTTGTGTGCTTTGAGCGCTCGCTCATTGTAGCCTACCGGCTTGGGCTGAACGTGCGAGGGGTACTTTGGTTAACAAGTGTGGTTAGTAAAACGATTCAATGGACTGGTCTTCGGCAAGAACGGAAGATGTATGCTCACCTCAGATATCCAAACGTAGCCATCCCAAACTTTCCAGTGGCCTCCCCATAATACAGGCTCCCTGCGTGGGATGACAGAAGCCGATGCTAGAGTAATAAAGGTGGCTATGATGAGTTTGAGGGCCCTCATCTTCCAGAGACTGGGCATGTTGGAGAGGCCTTTCTGAGGAATAATGGGAGCAGGGCGTGTGGAGTTAATGGTATTGGCTTCTTGCTTGGAGAGTACAATCATATATATCGCATAAGATGGGCGAAAAAGCGATCAGAGCCTCCTTCAAGTAGCTTGATATTCTCCTTCGATTCTTATATCCTTCAGCGATTTCGCAGAGTTCATGTTCGTCTACATTAGTGGGGCGACCCGTTAGCAAAGTGGTTCTAGAATTCGAGCTGCTGACCAGAATACAATTGCTATGAAGATCAAAAGGCTAGCCTCCCTATAATCTGCTTGTCAGCGCAAACAAGAAAACACATATACACGAACTACTTGAGACCTGAAAATGCTGCTCTAAAATGATCATGAACCCAGCATTCATCAAATCCAGCCCGCCCTGTAGTCCGAGTCGACCATGGTCCTGCTCCACTCTGCTCCAACCCTATAAGCCAATATTTACATTCCGAGCTCTTGATTCACCACCACCCCAAGGCTCCCTAATCCCTCTTGCCAACCCCATACCCGTACCCGTTGTAACCGCCCCCATTACTAACCGGCAACCCATACCCTCCCCCACCCCCTCCATACGCCTTATCCCTCGCATACCGCCTCAGCCTCCGCGGCAGCTCCACGCCCCTGAAGTAGGCCACGCATATCGCTGCGCTCGCGCCCGCACTCAGCAAGCAATACACAATCGTGCTCGTGTATAAGTGCCCGCCCATGCCTCTCCACCCGCTGGGCAAGACGGTGCCGGGGTACCACCGCACGCTGAATTGTAACGTCAATGGGTCCCCAATCGACACCCTCGCCTGCCGCGTGTGCGCAGAGACCGAGTACGCAGCCGCCGCGTCGATTGTGCCTGGTGCTATAGCCTTCGGCGCCGCGTGCACGAGGAGGTTGAGCGCGTTGGAGATGTGGAGGTGGGAGAGCTGGAGCGTGCCCGCGAGGGCCATGATGAGGGGGGTGTAGAGGGTCGATTGGGTGCCCATGGCGCCTTTTTTCGTGGACTCGTCCGAGACGGTGTATTCGTCCGCGGGAGGAGCGGCGCCAGTGCCCGTGCCTGAGGAGGAGGGGAGGATGGAGGAGGGCAAAGGCCGTGAGGGGATGCGGCAGGTTAGGGGCGCGTCGTTGTGGACGTAGAATTCGAGGAGATGGAAGAAGGCGTCGTCTATGAATTCGATTGTGCAGTTGATTTCTGGGGTGGTTGGTTAGTAACTTTACGAGGGGGGATTTGGGGTGTATTGAACCTTTTTCTATCCCAAAGTGTAGCTCGAGTGGTCGACCGGTTTCGTTGCAAGTTGGGAAGGGGATGTATTCCAGCTGGCCTTGCTCGTCTGTAATCTTGGCACCCATAATGTTAGCTTCTCTTCTTCATGATGTTCTAGAGCCCTCATTGCGATTTTGTCCCTGGCCCTATCCATCCCATCTTTGCTTCCTATGTCTTTTACAGCACCTAAAATCTCCAGCAATGTCGTTTGCCCCATATCTTTCTTGTGCAGAGGCCTCCAATCCACGAAGTATAAAAAGGGTCTTACATGTTCACCAGTATCTCTACACTTCGTTAGCTATTGTCCACGCAAGAGGGTTGACCAGTGTCCAGATCGCGTGCAACACCACCAACCCAAGCTCAAAACATACATAGTCCGATTCAAACAGCTAACAGAAATCGCTTCGCCAGCCACATAGCTCTTCTCAATCAGCTTCAGCGGCTCCTGGCTCGACACCGCCGCGGCCAGCGCAATGTAGAACGTGTACACGACGGTGAAGGCCAGCCATGGGGAGTAGGACGAGCGCGACATCGTGGGCGAGGAGGAGGTTAGGATCGAGGGAAAAAAGAGGGGACTATGGTATGAGGGAGCACGCGATTGGGCTCGTAGACCTCATATGAGGAACATTGTTTGTGGTGCTGGTTGGCGGGATGCTAGTAAGCAACAGGTTGGTTTGTAGAGGCGATCCTTTCACAAGCGTGAAATTTATTCTAGGTTCTATTCTAAGAACAAGGGACTTTTTATATGGAGTTTTTCAGCACCGCTTAATCCTCATAGTAAGGTAGCAAGTCTAAGTTGAATAGTGAGTTTCGATATTTCCACCGTCTCGTTATATCTCATCGAGTTTGTAACAACGATCGATCTTCACGATCAAAATTCGAGGACGCCTTGGATTGTACAGCACTGTATTTTACTTATCAATTTCAATCTGAAACTATATACTACCCGTCTAGTGACCCTTCATCATTCCGCACCAGCCCAGTCGTGACACATTAGGGAAGTCGTTGCCTGATCTCCACACTCTGAATTTACAAGGACGACTTCTTCTTGAAAGCATTGATGAGGCCGCTCGTGCTAGCATCGTGCTTCGTGGATTCGCTAGAATCGTTCAACTCGGACAGAATATTCTCTGCGCAGCTTATTAGTACTTGAATCTTTCTCCAAACGTACGGGGGATACTTACTGGCCAGAACCTTGCCCAGCTCCACACCCCACTGGTCGAAGCTGTTGATGTTCCAGACAGCACCCTCGGTGAAGGTCAGGTGTTCGTAGTAGGCAATGAGGGCGCCCAATGTGCCTGGGGTGATCTTATCCGCCAAGATCGAAGTCGTGGGACGGTTGCCCAAGAAGGTCTTGTGTGAGACTAATTCTGGTGCTGCGCCCTCTGCCTTCACCTGCTCGGGAGTCTTGCCGACCATCAGGGCTTCCGCTTGAGCGAAGAAGTTAGACGCAAGCATCCTGCGATAATTAGTACGGGGATCTTTACCAGCAAGACGGGCACGTACTTTTGATGCTTGTTGTTCTCCACAGGGTTGTGGCTCTTAGCAGCCATGATGAAGTCAGTTGGGATGAGCTTGGTGCCCTGGTGAAGAAGTTGATAGAAGGAGTGCTGGGCGTTGGTTGCTGGCTCGCCGAAGAGAATAGCGCCAGTGGTGTACTTGACGTAGTCACCACTTCGAGTGATGGCCTTGCCATTAGACTCCATGGAGAGTTGCTGAAGGTAAGCCGGGAATCTGTGAAGGTATTGGTCGAACCTACAGGCACAATTAGCATACACTTTCTGAGCCTTTGCCTACTGAGCTTGACTTACGGAGAAACGAGATGGGTCTGCGCTCCGAAGAAGTCAGAGTACCAGACGCTCAACAGACCACCCAGCACAGGGATGTTCTTCTCGAGAGGAGTCTCTTTGAAGTGCTTGTCCATGGCATGAGCACCGGCAAGGAACTCATGGAAGTTGTCGAACCCGATGTATAGCGCCACACTCAGGCCGATGGCACTCCACACGCTGTAACGCCCTCCAACCCAGTCAGAGAAGCCAAACATGTTCTTCTTGTCAATTCCGAACTTGGTGACCTCGGACTCGTTTGTTGATAGAGCAACGAAGTGTTTGGCAATCGCGGAGTCGTCTTTGGCATGCTCGAGGAACCATGCTTTCGCGGTGTTGGCATTAGTCACAGTCTCTGCGGTAGTGAAGGTCTTGGAGGCAACAAGGAAGAGAGTGGTTTCGGGGTCCGACTCCTTGAGAGCCTCAGCAATGTGTGTGCCGTCGATGTTTGAGACGAAGTGAAGCTTGAGGCTGCGGTCACCGTATGGCTTGAGTGCTTCAGTGACCATGACAGGTCCACTATAGTCTGTTAGTACTTTCCTCTCCTGGACCCCCAAAGCCGGCTTTCTTTGGGTGCTGATGGCGGGAACTTACAGGTCAGAACCACCAATACCGATATTGATAATAGTGCTCATCTTCTTTCCCGTGTAGCCCTTCCAGTCTCCACTCCTCACTTGCTCCGCGAACTCCTTCATGTGGTCCAAAACCTCGTTGACACCCTCGACAACGCTCTTCCCATCAACTGCCATAGGCGAGTTTGAGGTATTGCGTAGAGCAACATGGTACACAGCACGGTCCTCGGTGAAGTTGATCTTCTCGCCTGCAAACATATCATCCCGGAGCTTCTCCAAGTCTGCCTCCTTGGCCAACTTCACCAAAAGGCCGATTGTCTCCTCGGTGATGAAGTTCTTGGAGAAGTCGAAGAGTGTTTCCGACTTATCCGCCTCATTGTTGAAGATGAAGGAGAACTTCTCGAAGCGCTTGGGGTCTTGGGCAAAGTAGTCCTTGAGCACAATATCCTTTCCGAGCTTCTGGTGGTGCTCCTGAAGGGAAGCCCATGCCGACAGTTCGTTTGCTTGAGCGAAGCCCGGCATTTTGTCGAGTTATAGCCGTTGAGGAAAGGGGAGAAGCTACACTGAAAGCTGGGGCGGTCAACAACAGACAAACACAGCAAGTGCGGGGTATCAAAGGCTCACGATGGGTTTCAGCAGCAAATTCTACAAGAGCCGGAGTTTCACAGAGGTCAATTGGCGAGAAAAGTAAGTATAGTAGAGAGTTCTGCGGTGGGGTGGTCGGAGGTGTCGTGATGTTTTGGGGGAGAAAGTGCCTGGAGAGATGGGTGGAAATGACAACTGTTGGCGGGGCACCTTTTGTTGGCGAAGTGGAGAGTGTGGGGGGATCCGTTCACAACACTGGTCCTTGAGCACCTACAAAGGTAGGACACTCATATATTTCAATTGGGCCTGAACATTACGGCAAGAGTCAGGCCGTTCACTGAATGATTGCATTCATAATGGATTATACCGCAGCAAAGCCCACAAGCTAACTTGATGAATAACCTCACTAAGCACTCCTCCAACATCACGTAATGCTGTACACCTCCGAGACACCGAGTGTGCGGAAGAGTTATCCAGAGGATCATCTGCGTCTGAAACTCACGACAATGCGCTCTATGTGTGCGCACGGCCAGCTCATGCATCAAGAAAGGGAACCTCCGATACCGCTCGCAGGAAGATGTACTGGCTACGACTTGGATCTCCGTCCGTTCACACTTGCTCGCCACTATATTGGTTGCTTTAGTAGTTGGGCAAGCCGAAGAAAAGCTATGACAGACCAGCTGCCTGGTCAGGCTACCTCACGCTATATCATGGACTGAAGCATGCTCTAAGTATTGTGTTGGATTTGATAGTTACAAGAAAGCAGTGTTCAAGATGCTACCGGCGCCAGAATGCCAAACCCAATTCTCGCCATGAACAAGAAGATCTGCCCGCCATTGATCCCGCCCAAAAGAGAAAAGAAAAGAACTGTCCGCAGCTTCAAGTCACGCAGCGGTAGGCACACGTGGTGCGCAGCGAGTGATGTGAACATCGTCTTCCCGTACACGACTGCCCAGCAGCGAGCGTGGCTGGTGAATAGTAAACTGCCGCTTCTGCGCCTCGAATGTCGTCGGAATCGTGATGAATTGCTTGTGCACAATGCCGTGTCTATCTCTCCGAAACGCCTTCGAACGACGGGTCCTTGACACTCCCGCCGGCATCTCCGAGACCGGCGACTGGTCGGTTGTATGACCAGCCCGCGAATTGCTGTTGCATTGTCTGAGACAACATGGGTCCATCCACGTACGAGTCAGTGGGCGCCTCGGATGTGAATTCTCGATCAAAGTTGGCAGTGTCCCGTTGATCAACCTATGCAGATTAGAAGAGTGTTGAGCATAAGATGAACGAGGTTACTTACCACATTGGGCTTGAAGCTGGGCTCGTATTTGCGCTCCAAGAGCTTCCGCCAGTCAATGCTGTGGAAGAAGTAGTGAGACTTGATCTCCGCGGCACCCTTGGCACCCAAACGCTTCTCTGCGTTCCTATCAAGAAGTCGAGTGAGGAGATCGCGTGCAGCAGGCGGCACAATTTCGGGTCCAGGGAAATGTAGGGGTTCTGTGAGAATCTTCCGGTACATGTCGTTGGTGTTTTCGTCGTAGAAGGGCGGCAGACCTGTCAACATCTCATATAAAAGGACACCAAGCGTCCACCAATCGACAGTCTTGGTGTATCCAGCACCTGTGAGGAGCTCAGGAGCCAGATATTCTGGGGTCCCACAGAAAGCTATCAATTGTTAGAAGGACCTAGAATGATATATGGATTATCCTTACTGTTGGTCCTGTCTTCGTCCTTCATGTCAAGCTTGCAAAGACCGAAGTCACAGAGTGCAATATGCCCCGTGTAATCCAGAAGAATGTTTTCTGGCTTCAAGTCACGGTAAATGACATTGAATCCGTGCAAACACTCCAAAGCGCATAGTAGTTCTGCGGCATAGAATCGAGCTCGGTTGATGTCGAAGCGCTGCTCTTTCTGAAGATGGTGGAACAGTTCACCGCCATTGACGAAAGCGAGGACGAGATAGAGCTTCTCGGGTGATTGAAAGGAGAACTTTAGTGGTACGATAAACGGGTTGTTGATCTGGGCGAGGACTGATCGCTCCGCAAGAGTGTGTGCGACTTCGGAGCGCGAGATGATATGGGCCTTGCGGATGGTCTTCAGCGCGTAGATACGATGTGTGTCACGCTTCCTACACCCCTGGTTAGACGTCGGTTCCACGACATCTCAAACTTGCACAACTTACTGGACTTGCATGACCTTGCCGAAACTGCCCTTCCCCACGACTTTGAGCAACTCGAAATCCTCGATCGTCAGTTTGTCTTGACGGTTCTCGACAAAGTTGACGCCGATCCTCATAGAACCTGTTCCATATCCAAGACTGACCCAATCAGCACCCGCCTGCGCCTTTCCGCGCTCCGACTCGGCATGAGCCGCCGCCGCCTTTTCCTTATCTTTCTTGCTCAGCTTTTGGTCCTCCACATACGGCTGTTGCTCCTCGAAGCGGGGGTTGACCTTGCAGGTGCCAATGAAAATATCGTCGTTTCTGCCGGCATTGGGAGCTGCGGAGGGATTGCGAATATAGAGGGAGATGTTCAGTTCAGTTGTCCGCGAGACATCGAATTTGTACTGTGTGTTTCCCCCTGCCCAGAGCGGGTTTTCTGGGGTACCTTGCACGGCGTTGATGAAGACCTGCTGCTTATCAAAGTCGACGAGAGCATACGGGAGGTATTTGGAAGAGTAGCGGCCGTGAATTGTAGGCACCGCGTTGATGCTTCCAGCTGCGGACTGCGGTCGATTGCTGGAATAGGAGCCAACCACACCACCCTGGTTTCGTGATGACGAATTGGGTCTCATGGACCCTGCAACCGAGAAACCACCTGTGGAGAGCGAGCCTTGGTGGTGGCCGCTCGTGGTAAAGGCAGCCTCGGAACCCGCAGGGAGGGAGAAGCCTTTGCCCTCGTAGAGCGTTACTATGAGAATACCTGGCTTCAAGGGGGGCGGAGGAGGGGCAGCATTCGCTTCAGACGCAGCTACGAATGTTAGCACTGTCTCTGGAATCAGATTGTGCCAGACGTACCGATGCCATTGGGGTCCTTCGGATCGACGAGAGTCGCGCTGCTCGCGGTACTCGAAGGCTTTGGTGTGCTGTCGGCGACTATGGTCGAGGTGGACGAAGAACGGCTGAAGGTGTTCGCTAATGGGGCCAAATGCGTCTCCTTGAGCTCTGGTGGGAATGAGATAGCGTCTTCTAACAGCGTATCGCCAGGCGGCCTCTACTTACTCTTGGTGAGTTTCCAGGACATGCTTGCGGTGGTCGCCCGAGGGCCTTCACTCTGGGGTAAGACCGAGCGCGGTGAAGGCGGGGGAAGTAGAGGAGCAAGACGGCGGGCGGCGATGCCTCAGCGGCTTCTGCGCTGCGACTGAGACTTGTGTCGGGAACGAGCACGGCGGGATCAGTGGTGATTCGAGATTGGAGGGTTTGAGGACGCAGAGAGGGGCGAGGCGGCTGGAACAGAGTGTTGATGGCTGAGTGAAGACGGGCTCGCTCGCTGCCCGCCCGCGCCCAGCGGACTGGACTGCCTGACTGGCAACGGAACGCCGCTCACTTGGCGGTCAGGGTTGCAGGGCTGCCTCAGCCCGACGCTGACCTCCAAGCGCGGGCTGGCGACGACATGCGCTGCGCCGACCTCGTTGCCACCATAACCTCGAATCTATTCACTGCCTCGCGCCCCCGAGCTCCTCCTTCGCCGGCCACGTCGTGCTGCCCTTCTCACCGCGCTGAGGGGCGTTGAGGGCGCATCAAGCCAACCCACCGACCACCCCTCGCACACCCCCTCACACCGCCACCACGTCCTGCATGGCAGCATGGGGCTCATCAAGAAGAAGACGGCATCGCGGGGCACCGAGGGCGGCGTGAAGTACGTCTGCGACGTGTGCTCCGCCGACATCACCGCAACTGTGAGTGCCCACGACGCGGACTGCATACTTTCGTCCGACCGCAGAATGCCAAGACTAACCGCCTCCTAGGTCCGGATACGCTGTGCAAACGCCGCCTGCCACGAATACGACCTCTGCGTGCCGTGTTTCGCGGACGGCAAGTTCTCGCGCGACCACGACCCCAAAACCCACTCCTTCCAAGTCATCGAACAGCACTCGATCCCGATATTCACCGAAGACTGGGGCGCCGACGAGGAATTGGCCTTGCTGGAAGGCGCCGAAACGTATGGGCTCGGGTCGTGGGCCGACATAGCAGATCACATTGGCGGATGTCGGATGAAGGACGAGGTGCGGCAACATTACATCGACACCTATTTGAACAGCTCCAAATTCCCTCTTCCTGAACACGCCAGTCCAAACGACAAACGGCTCAGCGATGCTGTCCCCCGCGAGGTCTTCCAGGCTCGCAAGAAGCGGAGGATCGAGGACAGGAAAGAAGATGCCCGGAACGCGCCACCCGCCACGCCCAAACAGAAGCCCACGGCTAGTGTACCGGCATGTCACGAAGTTCAAGGCTACATGCCCGGTCGGCTGGAGTTTGAGACCGAGTATTTCAACGAAGCCGAGGAAGCTGTGCAGCATATGCAGTTTGACCCCGGAGATGGCGTCAACCAACGAACGGGGGAAACAGAGCCAGAGATGGAGCTTAAGATGACGGTGATGGACATCTACAACTCGCGGTTGGACGCGCGAGTGGAGAGGAAGAAGATTATATTCGAGCACAAACTACTGGAATACAAGAAAAACGCCCTAGCAGACAAGAAGCGCACGAAAGAGGAACGAGAACTAATGAACAAAGCCAAGCCTTTCGCGCGAATGATGAAGCACGAAGACTTCAAGAGCTTCTGCGAAGGTCTGGAGTACGAACACAACCTAAGACAGGCCATCGGCTGTCTGCAAGAATGGAGGCAGTTGCAGATTGGAGATCTGAAGTCGGGCGAGAAATACGAGCAAGAGAAGCAGCTACGACAGAGTCGCGGCCCGCCAGTAGGCCAGTTCGATCGATTAGCAGCCAGCCGCATCAGCAAGCCAACCCCGCCGATCGAAACACCATCCGCAACCACCGCCTTGACATCGCCGGGACTGGCACTGCGCCTGAACAACGGCTTATCAACACCTCCACCAGATAGAGTTCTCCCAAATGGGACCAACGGAGTCAACGGCACCAACGGCTTGACCAACGGTGTTGGCATGGCGCACGTGAAGCCAAAATTCTCGATCCAAGCCCTCCCTAACACGGTCCCGCTCAAGTTCGGCAAAGAGAACCAAGCAGACCTGCACCTTCTCACGCCCGAGGAGCAAGAAGTCTGCAGCATGCTGCGCATCATGCCGAAGCCCTACATGGTCATCAAGGAGGCGATGCTCCGCGAAGCGCTGAAGCAGGGCGGCAGCATGAAGAGGAAGATGGCACGCGAGGTGTGCAAGATCGACGCCAACAAGTGCGGCAAGCTGTTTGACTTTTTTGTTTACAGCGGCTGGATTTCCAAGGCGTAGGGGCGCCTGCTTACTCTATCATTGCTCGGAGTACCTACATTTTGGGCGGTCGGGGGCCGATGGCGTTACGCTTTTGATACCCGGAGCGTGGGCTGGATGTGTTTAGGTATGGGTGGCATGGTATAGGACTGTTCAAGTAGCACTATTCAACTGAAATAGGATGCTTATCCAGTACTCCTAGTGCTGCTGTGGCAAAATATTTGGTAACTCTGAATCTTCCTTCTGTGAAAACTTATGATCACTCGTCTGCCGGTGTCTGGGATGGCCCAGCGCATCATCAGAAAATCAAGTGAGATCTATACTGCTATACACCGTGAATCAGAGCAGTTCCAAGACCCTGTCCTACAGTCGATTCTGTGCCTTCCTACAACGCGATGGCGCCTCCGCGTGAGCGGGGCGGAGTATAAACCTCTTCTCAGCAAACTGTTTCGTCATGTCATAAACAATTCACGGATGTCACTACATCACGTGGTCACTTTAAGCGAAGATCTCGAGCTTTAACACATCGAGGGTATAAGCAATTCACTGATATCATGCTGCGATCACGTGAGCATGAAATTAGTTCAAGGCGTAGAAGATCGACAATACAAAGGTTAACAACTTAGGCTTCATGAGTCCTCAGGAGGTGACTACGGCAATGACTCGGTTTAGAGAGCTGAGGTTATAGAAGGAGAGGACGGGCCGCTGGGATCGGTGGGGCTATGAGCACGGCCACGCCAGAGCTGGGTCGATCAAAACGAAATCAAAAAAGGTGGTTTCACGATAGGAGAAGCTTGCAGATGATAGAAAGACTACGAAGGTTTGAAAAGGTAATTTTTGAGTGCAAGATCAATACAGCGATTTTCTTATCGCCACATCTCTAGTCACAAGTGAATGTTAGCACAGATCGAAACATTACTATGTCCTAATGACAATATTAGAGATCTATATGGTGATCTAGTTACGAGTAAGTGTCATTGTGTCAGCAGACTATCATTCTACAGTTACTTTAGCAAATGGGAAGGCAGACTCTACGGAAGTCATCTGGGGCTCTAACCGTTCTTTGTTCGAGTATCTCTTTTGATCGATTGTTAGTCGATTCGCCTTTGTTTTGTGCCTGCCATTTGTCTGATGCCTCATAACTATGGTTAACGTATCTGTATACCATTACAGACATCGACAACGCCATCGAAGCACGAAAACGCTAAAGATCTATCAGCGAATAGTGCCAGCACGTCCGCAGAAGTGCAAAGATAAACAGACTCACCAGTACTCGAGAGTAAGAAGTAATCGCCGCGGTGAAAATATGGCGTCCACAACAGGCCCCAGGCCGAGGTTCGATTCCCCCGGTGCATTTGTCCAGGGGATGATTAACGAGATCGATGAATTGCTAGAAACGGCAGGGAAGACAGACACCCAACGACTAGTACGAGACCTTCCGCTAGAGCTGGACGCATTCAGGGCGAAATTCGAAGCGGTGAAGAGGAGTGTTCCTTCGGACTGGGACGCCTTCCTAGAAGATGTGGAGAACACCGACGAAGCGTCTAGAATTCAGGGGGATGTGACGGATTTCCGAGATACAGTAGACGCTTACATGCGGCTGCTAGGCTCAGTGATTACGGCCCAAACACTTAGAACCGCTCCTAGTTCATACCAGATCCGACAAGATAGACTGGCAGCTGAAGCCATGTTACCTCGGAACGACTATGGTCTCGCGGGTGCCAGTTCATGGGCAAATGCGGCTCTTAATACGGTCCAAAGCACTGCATTGTCAGTTGCAGCAGGAGATCTTCCGGTGGACTATGAAACGTGTAACAAAGTATTGTGGACGGCCAAGTATGCTAAAGAGCACGCGGAGAAGATTAAGACGTTTAGCCAAAGGGCAGGGTTCGACGAAAAAACGTATACGAATATCGAAGACGAGATAGACAGTGATACAAAGCTTGCCAAGTTAGCGTTGAAAGATGCGATGAATCAACGTTTCATCTGTCTTCATAGCACGGTGCAGATTCTGAACGAGACAGTTAAGAACGATTCAGTCAGTCTTAAGAAGGCGTGGATAGAGGATAGAAAGGCACCTTTATTCGTCAACCATTGTCTGAATATCGAGTGGAGCATGGGGCCTAGAAGGAACAGACTTGCGCATGCGTATGGTGTGCCAAATATGGTTATTCCGGAAAAGTATCAGGCGTTTGACCCCAGGGACCACTGGAATCATGTATGGGCCATTTACGAGGATCTTATAAATGCGCTCGATGAGGTCATTGAGACCATAAGACCAATGCACGAGAAGGCCTTATGGCAAAAGAGGAATGAAGATGGATACTGGGTTGACGGCGAAAATATTGATCCTTGGACTCAGTCTAGAAGTGAAGGCGCTGGATCTCAAAATGCAAACTAGAATGGAGGTAATGGGGGCAGCTCTCAGATGCAGCTATACATGCTAGTGATAAGTTTGAATAGCTAGTAGTAGAATTTTAATATTTATCCAGTCAACAGGTTGCGTCCAAAAAGAAATTTGCGTTGATCATGGATCTTAAATTCGGTATGAATGCCTCCAAAATAGTGACCTACTCAAAAGGGTATACTAGCTCAGTCGTTGGGTCATACTACGGGCTAGGAGTTGATTCGTCGCTCGAGGGGTTCAGCTAAGGCAATGCTTGAGGGATGCTCTTTATTCGCTTGCTCGTCATTGGTCTTTATTCGGGAATTAGCCTTTGTGCAGCGCTTTGTATTTACATATCACCTAGCCACTCTTTGTGTTATTGTAGACACCAAAAACGTGAGCAAAGTACCTGGCAAGCTCTAGAGATTCTTTTCATTGATATTACGAAGATAACTCAGTACCAAATATATATATCACCTCCTTGGCGAAGCCCGAGCATAGATTGATTTGAGAGAGATGGCAGATCCGGAGAAGATTTCAGATCAGGTACAGGCGACAAATTGGGACTGGGATCCGGATCAAATAGTGAACTCGGATCACATACAAACGATGAAATGGGAAGATCTGACAGTGAACACAGATCAAATTCGAACGACGAATTCGGACGAGGACCAGACGGGAGCTTCGGACAATTACGTTGACGAAATGGAACCATCCATGGAGGACGAACACATTGACCTGAATATTTCGCCGCCTTATTACGAGGACGAGGATGATGATCCGGAACCTGTCATGTCAGATGAGGACTTTGCCAGTGTACGGACATCATATCTCGAGATCCGGAACTCACTTCTCCTTGGCCACCTCGACGCTTTCAAGCTTGGTCTCCATATTTTCGATCAAATAATCCAATTTCGAGAAAGATTCAAAGCTATACCGCCGGAAGGTGAGTTTCCCAGCAACGCGGCTGACCTGAGCTTATCCGATATGGTATCTGTACAAAAGAAGGTTAGAGACCTCCATATCGACTTTATAGGGGCCCCCAAGGGCGGTACCGGGTTTCTGAGTAAGCTTGGTTCTGTAGTAGATGTTATGGGGGTTCCAGGAGGTCCAGGCAGCTACTACACGCCCAACGGAAACCCCGTGACAGTTCCAGGAGGTGAATCAGTTCCAGGAGGTAAACCAATTCCACCCATGGAGAAGGTCGAGAAGGCAATTGCAGTCGTTCAGTACGCTCAGCAACATATCCATTGGATAAATTCGTATAATGACTTAGGGAACTTTAATCGGGGTGAATTTACCAGGATTGACCATTTTGTTGTAGGTGATTCCGATATCCAGCAGCTTATGGCTAAAGATGCTATGATTCAACGGTTTGTCTGCTTGAATAGCGCGATGGAAATTATACGCCATGTGATTCGTGATACTTCCCTGAACGACGAATTCACTGAGGAGAAAACGCCCTTATATATGGAGGTTGAGGATCTAGGCTATGTGTCGGCTCGTCTTAGGAACACAGTGGCGCATGGATATGGGGTGCCGGATGGATTTGTAAGCTTTATCAACAAAAATTACTCAAGCTTCAACTCTGGGGAGTGCTTTGACTGGATTTTGGATAATCGCAAACTTTTTGAGAAGGCTTTAACGGAGGCAATGGATAAGCTGGAGGAGCTGAAAAGAAAGGGGATCAAAATCGAGGCAGAAGAAAAGGCCAAAGCTGCCGCTCAAGAAGCGGCCGCTGTAGCTGAAGGAGAAGCTGCCGCTGCTGCTTTTAATGCAGATCTTGAATTAGGAAGCATTCAGGCTCCGTCAGGGACAAATCCAACAGCTGGGACTTTGAATCCCAACGCAGAAAGTTCCGATACTCCTGCCTAGTAATCGTATTCAGATATAAATGTTGGTTTGATCTAGTATTCGTGATCTTGAAATTCCGAAATCTAATCGAGACCTGCGCACAGAATCGAGGAAGGGGTGTTCCATATTGCAATTGATGAGATTTCGGCAGCGTGTTATGCTTGTTGCTTGGAACTTATTAGATGTCAAAACTAATGAAGTCGTGGAGCGGATGACATCTGCGGATTTTATGGAGCTTGGCCACCTAGCAGGCTCATCTTTCCGTGTCTTTCGTTCTAGTGTTTGACTAAGATGTAGGTTGTTGTGGTTGAGGGGGAGAGAAGAGAAGAAGACGGGACGTCGTGGGATTGAATATATTAAACGGTTTAGCTAGGCGTCAAAATTTACGGCGGACGACTTGACAGCCTTTTCAGTACAGCTCGGTAGAAATGGTCTAATCATGTCGCGAAATATAAATAAATTACAGCAACTGAAGCTGCGCCACACTTGAGTGGCGATCGCTCACACGACGTCACCTCATTGGCCTCCCCGCTCTCTTTTCAGCACCACTCTGCCACTACGAATGCCCGCGTTAGGGGTGGCTGACAAGGCCTACGTACTTCTCGTACTCCGCCTTCCACGTCGTGTTCCTCCCGCGTGCCGACCGTGGCAGCTGCGCAAGAGCTTCCTCATCTACAGCAACCTGACCCAGGCAGCAGCAATAACTGAAGGTTTGGTAGTCTCCACTATATCCTGAGGTATCGTGGCCTCCTCGTCAGGTACCAAGGTTCAATTTAAAGCTTGATATCCTTTTCTTTCTCACTTTTCTCTTCCCAATCCTCCCCACCATTCACTTCCATATCCACCAATTCGCATCGCAACCATGACCACCATTCCCCGCGGGATGGCCATGCCGCCCCTCACGCCCCAAGACATCACCACCTTCCTCTACACCTACTTCAAAGCCGAATACGCCCCGATCCGTTCCTTCTTCTCCACCGCCACCGCCATCCCCACCCACCCCGGCCGCTGGGTCGCCATGGGCACCGAGCTGTCCCCCACCGTCTTCCGCCCCGCCAACGCGCAGGCCCAGAAAGACCTCGCCACCCTTGACGACTACCTCCGCCTGCACGGGCTCGACGCGACCTTTGTCCACGGGCTCATCGTGCGGTATGCGCGGTTCGACCTGCACGAGCGGCTTGAGAAGAAGCTGTATGAGAGCTGTCGCGAGGATCTGATGGTGCGGAAGGCGCTGAAGGAGAAGACGCTGATGGATGCGCTGTGGCCGACCTACGCGAAAAGCCCGGCGGATCTGGTGGAGCAAGGGAGGAAGGTACGCGCGTGGTATGGGGATATGTTTGCGAAGTATTTCCGGTACTTACACAGTTTGCAAGATTATAAGCTTCGGCTGGAGGTGGAGGAGAGGATGAGGAGGACGCCGCAGCTGAACCTGGTGCCGTTTGTGGAGCATCTTGTCAACGGGCCTGTGGAGGCGGTCATGCCAGTTGCGGCAACGGGGACGGGCGTCGTGCTGCCTAAGTCGAGTGTCATGGAGGGTGTGAGGCCGGAGGGGAGGGCGGATAGGTTTGAGATTCGGTTTGATGCGCCGCCGTATCTTTCGGAGACGCAGACGAAGAGTGTGGTACGGACGACAGAATGTTTGAAGTGTGGGACAAGACGTGAGGTCACAGTTGTTATATCCGTCGATCCGCCGCCTGGGCCCGTGGAAAAGAGGACGCATACGCATAGCCAAAGTATGGGAGTGTTGTCGAATACCTCTGCACCGTTGGCGAGGCGGAGTCTGAGTTCGTCAAAGGCGGCGACGAAGTATAGCCCTGGAAACATCGACGACGTCAGCGAAGAAACGAGAGAGACACCGTCACATCAGAAGAAGGTATCAGAAGCGCAAGCGTTTCCGTATAGCGATGCTGTCGTCGAGGACCCAAATGTACCCGCCATATCCTACGAGGAGAAAAGCGCCGCTCCCATCGCAACATCGAAGGACACAGACACTGCACGCCCATCAAACGCACGAAATAGTCTCTCTCTCAATCTCCTGTACCTCAAGTGGCCTCGATCGTCCGCTTCAACGCCGTCACAACCCCCAGCGACCGCACCGCCAGCTTCCTCACAACTTTCGAGCCCCCCCTCTCCACCACCCACCTACTCCGAACCAGCCCTCAACCGCGCTCCCTCTCCAACTATCCTCCCACTCTCTCCACCCCCAACATCCCTCCTCGACTCCGCTGTCCCAATCTCCTCAGAAACAGGTATAGAAGACGACTCCGCAGCCTATTGGGGCGAGATGGAGTCAGCAAAGGAAGAGGACGACGAGGACGCGGACGAGCGCGAGACGGAAAGAGCAAGAGAGAATGCTCGCAGTCCAGTGATGCTAGAGCTAGAGGGCGAGAGGAACGTATGGGGTGACGATTGAGCGCCCATCCCATTCGCCCGAAGCAGTGCCAAGAGATAAGCCCGTTGAGGCAGGAGGAAATTTTTTTAGTGAAAGGGGCCTATGTAAGCGCAGGGACGCGTAGCGCACATGCCGAAACGTTCCCCTTAGGCCGCAGAGACTCGTCCGGCGAATGACAGGAGAGGGTAGCCGGCCGGGTTGGTGAGCGTGCTGGGGTGGAGTGTTTGCGCGGCTCGGTCGCAAGGGGTGAGCTGATGTAAGGGCGAGGCTGCATAGAACGGCCAAACGAATGAGTCTCTGAACGGACTTTGGAGATGGTGATGGCTGCTGTGTTAAGGGAGAGGGGATTGGGCGACGAAGCGTCCATCAGCGACGAAGCATTTCATGATAGCGAATATTAATACGGTAGCGCGGTAAATATTTACATACGATCCATCTCTCGATACAACCATCCTACTATATACAATCCAAATTACCACACCGAATTTTGATCTTCCTGAGAATGAGGAGAACGTGCTAGCTGACCTGGGTGTATCACCGCACCCATCAACTGCCTGGATATCATCCGTTGAAGACAATGAAAAAGTCTTTCCCGTCGATCTGGGCGAGGATGCATAGATCCTTCCACCCCATCTAGCTATTTCGTAGACTAGCGCACTTAAACTTCGTGCTCCTTGGTAGCCTTCTTGTCGCTGGCACCCTTGATATACCGCGAAAGATCGCCGACTGTGACATATTAGCATCTACATCAAACGAAACGGAGGAAGAGGTGTACTCACCAGGTAGCTGTATGGGGAAGTCCAAACTCGCCAGCATGATAGCTGCAAAGATCCACCAACCGCATGCACACGTGACAAACGTAAAGCCGCCGGCAACGACTTGTAGCTTCGACGCAAGGGCCGGGTTTCCGGTGTTCCAGAAAGCGCCCGCGAGACAGCTGAAGGCAACAACGAGCGTCAAGAAGATGAAGAAAAAGGTAATATTGGTGCGGAGCGAGCAGATTAGGTAGATGAAGCACATCAGGCCCATGGCGAGGAAGAAGAAGGCGAAGGAGGCTTGGAAGCCAACGGAAGTAATGCCCGTGGCTGGGTTGGTTGGGTCGGTGGCATAGGCGGAGTAGGCGCCAAATTGCACTTGGAGGGTTCCACCCCAGGACATCCAGAAAGCGCCGAAGGAGGTGAAGACGACGAAGGGAAAGGTGTTGCCGATGACCCACTAATAAGAGTGTTAGTGGTGAGATCAATGGAATAATTGAATGATGGATGAAAGGGTGGCTAAGATGAGGCGAGAGAAAGGTTTGAGCAACATACCTCTCCAATTCCACCGAGAATCATCAACAGTCCACCAAAGAAGAAGTAGGTCGCGATATTAGCAGCACCAGAGCCGCCGGCACCCCTCCAGCCCATGAGATCACAGGACAAAGGAGACAGACTCAGTAGGAAACCAATCAAGGCCCTGATAGAGTTAGTATGTGAGCTTGGCTATGCTGATATCAACTTACAAGGGAGTAGGGTTGCCAAAGGTTCGTCGTAGGTCGCCATGGATGCGGTTTTGAGGGGAAAGATATATCTTCTCGAAAAGCTCAGGGGAGATTGAGATGCTGCCTGCGGTTTGAATCCTCCGTAAAGCTTCGTCTGAGCCATGGCTGTTATCGAGATGTTGGTGGTAGTTTCCTTCTCTCAATTAGCAGGGAGCAAATCGTCGCGTCCAAGACAATTAGCATACCGTTGCTGAAGTCCTTCTCTAGCGGAGCTCCATTGTGGCCGCCCCGATGAGGAGAAGGCGCAGTTAGGTTGGCATTATTTTGCGTTGTCGAGTAGTTGTCTGGGTGTGACATGGTGGCTATCGATGGAGTCAAGGACTTGAAGATGAGAAGGCTTGGGTATCAAAGAAGCACTGAAAGCCGATGAGGAGGAAGGTATACACGGCGAGAATAGATGACGGATATCAAAACTCGGCGGGGGAGCCTGTACTTGAAGTAACAAGAACGCGGAACCTGGGGACTCCACAGTGGAGATCGTCCATGACCATCTCCAGGGAGGTCACGGGAGGATCCACTCGCTGAAACCTGCTGGATCAAAGGAGCAAATGCGAGTGGATAGGAGGGCGCTCGCCGGGTGCAGAGAGCATTGGCAACTGGCCACTTCGGAGCGTATCAAGCGAAGCCCTCGCGTCAATTGAAGTGCCGAGAGCGATACCCTTGGTCGACACGGCCCGAATGGTGAAGAGGAAGTTTCACTGGCGTTATTTCCCCGCAAACAGCCCGCGTGGTCCCCGTGGTGTCAATGGTTCGGCGACCTGGGGAAGGCCCTTCTGTGGCGAGCGGACACAAGGAGTGGTAGAACGACATTCTTTCCACGGCCCATGGCTTCCCGTCCTGTCTACACAAGAGAAGAATGTCGATTTCGAAGCCGAAAATCGCGTATCTAACCCTGGAACGGCGGTGCGGATGGCTGAGACGGTACGAGCCCCCGCAGCAGTGGTCTCAGATGTACCCTAGATTTGCTGCAGGACGGGGGTAGGACGTGGCATGGCACCGAGCCTAGGCCCAGAGCCAGAACTCAGTCGGAGCTAGGGGTGAGTGGATGATCTCCAGCTAATGGGGGCCATGAGTTTGCGGGGAACCTCCGGTCCGGGCCTGGTGCCATCTGGGGTTGAGTGGGGAGGTGTTCTTATTCCCAGCAGACGTCACCCCACGCCTTTGTTGCGATTGACAGAAGGAGGAAATCGATCAAAGAAATTTCATACGAAGAACGGAGAGCACACCGTGGAGGTCATGCTTCGTTTCTTTCTCATCCAGACCTCGTCGTGGCATCTGACTGCTGCTCCGCGGGCGTATTCGACCGTGAGCGATGCCGAGGCGGCTCCTCTTGCGGTGGTCACTAGTCAGCGCCACCGTTGTGGTCATTTCGGATCAAGGGAGCGTGGTGGTTGGTGATGCGTTAGCGCGTTGTGGTCTGAGAAACGAAAGATCGAAGCGTCATCCATCGGACCGAAGCGCATCAGCTGAGGCAGTATCGACAACAACGAGCACCGCCTTCAGAAAGGGAAGAAGCGCGAAGGGAGTACGTCGTTCAAGTAGTCGCTCTGTTCATCTAGGATTACTATATAGTCGGAATTTGATTACTGAGTAGATTGGCCATTCACGTGACTTGTATCATTTCGCACCAATCAGAATACGGGGAGGCATTTACTGGTGAGAAAAAGGTGAATTCATGCCGAGGAATCTATCGTCTAGCTTCATAATCAAACCGCATCGCTACCCCCCGTCTATGCAATCAGGACTCCAGATGCCAAAGGAAACATTGGTATCAAACACGCACGTACAAGAACCGCTCGCTCGCTCGCCATGCCTCAATAGGATATGGGAAGACCGAGGTCCTTCGCCCACTGCAGGAACGGCTCCTTGTGCTTCTTCTCGGGCCAACTTGGTGTTTTTCCAGCCTCCTGCCAGAGAGCGATTCTCTCCTCTAGAACTTCCTTCGCCCACTGTCTGATCTCTGGCAGGTGGATCTTGGTCGCAACCCACGCAAACTCCCCGAGATCTGGCTCGCACTCAAACTTCCGCTCGTATTCCACCATCTGCAGGAGTAGCTCCATCTTGTCGATGTCATGGACGAATTTCGACTCTTCCGTCTTGCTGTCCTCGTATTCCTGCCAGACTGTGCGAATGTCTTGTGCGGAGAGACCACCAAACTTCCCAAGCAGTCGAGTGCAGATATAGTCCATCGTCTCCTCCTCCCGCCGCGACTTTTCTTCCTTATCGATTTCGTCGGCAGGCGTGATATCCCCAACAAGCGCCTCGGCCATATCGTGCACTAGGGCCATCTTGGTGCATCTTGGAATGTTGAGCTTGGAGGTGACAGATTCAGGCGCCATCATGGTCATGATTGACATCCTGTACATGTGGTCGCTGATCGATTCGCCTTTGATGATGCCCATGCGTTCCCAGCCGGCGCGCTTAGTTGTCTTTAGGCGCTCGACGAAGTGGAAGAAGGGAACTGGGGATGCAGTCGACTCCTCAGGATGCGGCTGGAGCTTGTTGATTTCTACATAAAGGTGTCAGTCTAGCCTTGGACTACTATCTGGACATAGTTTGGTGCAGATTTTGCGTACGGATCTGTGCCCGCCCTCAACATACCACTCTCGAGGACCCATAGCGGCTGATCCTTTTTGGTTGCAGGATCAGTTTCTGTAGCGCATGATCAGTCGTGATTATCTCTAGCAGTCTGTTAAGATAGCATAGCATACCAGCATCACCATTACCGCTCACCTTGTTCTCGGGCGTTGGCGGTGGCGGTGGCACAAACTCGGCCCCATGATCGGACATTTTGACGTCTACCAGCTTGTGAGGAGGAATGGGAGAGAGGCCGGCGAGCGGCAAACGCCCTTTTTATATAATTGCGGACACTTTGTGTGGGGCCTGGTTTTGTTTGCGCACCGCAAGTTTGGTGTTGAGCTTCCCTGCGAAACACCGCGCCAAGACATTTCCACTTCTAATGTTTCTGTTTACCGCTCTTCAACACCACGACAATGAATCCCCTACGACACCACCTCACTTCCGCATTGATACACTGAGTCTTCGCCTCATACATGGACTCAGGAACACCCAGAACATGTCTCGCTCAACCTCCGCGTCGAGCGCAGCCCCTTCCACAACCCTGAATGTCTCCCGCACCATGTCCGTCAAAGCATCATCTGGACCCGCCAAATCCTCAAACACTGCGCTATTCCTCACCAACCTCCGTTTGCTTGACCTAGATCTCCGTGACGACTGGCCAGCAATCACCGCGCAAACATTCACCACCCAGAACGCCCAACAGAACCAGAAGAATCGGATTAGATGTGTAGAATGGGCCTTATTTCGCCTGTTCGAGTTGTGGGATGCCGAAGAGACGCGGGAGGTAAGAATAGTCTGTACCTTGTAGCACTACATGCTAATAATCATATAGAAACTTCATCCCTTCTTCCCACCTCTCGAACCTCTTCAATCCCTAAACCTACGCGCCGCCATGTACCGCTCCCTCAACGAGTTGAAGAAGAATGGAGTACTCGGTCGGACGTCAGTTCTCCGGAAGACTATGCTAGACGAATGCAAGGACGAGAAGCTCATGGAATTGTTATTGGTGTTTTCGACTGCGGTCCTGAAGAAAAGGATAGCTTCGACAAGGAAACGTGGCCCCAAGAAGGACACAGTTGCGAAGACTCTGGCTACGGCACCTTTGCTTAATGTCAGTGAACAGAGCTCCTTGCTGCCGTTAGCAATTGCGCATAAAGCTAGTCTACAGGCGGCACTGGCGAAGAAAGAAGTCCAGAGGAAACGATACGTGGAGTTCTCCGAGTTACTAGACACCAAGGCCGATGATATCAACCAGCGTATTGAGAACTGTCGGGAAGAAAAACACTCGGGTCGTAACTTTTCCAAGAACGTCGATACAGCGTCTGTCAAAAGGCAACTCCGCGAGAACTGGTCTGGGGATGCTAAATGGATAGACGCTATGCTTTATGGGGATGACGAGAAGTCAGACGACGTCTTTCTCCAAAAGCCATTCAAAGATATCTGGCCCAGAGTCGAAAAAGGTGGCACACTGCAAGGTCAGGGTATGCATGAAGGGTTACTGGAGAGCCTAGAAGCTCGCGTGAAGCAGCAACAGAGCCGGATTAGTCGATGGCAGGAGTTTCACGATCAAATCAAATCACACCCGTCATCTGCCAAGGATACGAAGTCGCCTCCTCGCAAAGAGAACGCGGCTCCGATTTGTGCATTTGATGCCCATGTGGAGTTACAAATAGGCAAATTCAGGGACGAGGTTGCTGCGAATAGCACGCGGGCATCCCAAACATACCAGGATATTATTTCTGAGATGAATGACGAGCTTTCGAAAGAGTCCAAATTACGCCGAGATCGCGCAGCAATATCACATTCACGTCGCGGCTCTCGGTCTAGATCACCTATCAAAAGGACAAAATCCCGATCCAATTCTATACCAAAGAAGCCTCTGGAAGTAGCCATTGAAGTCAAGCCAGCTGCGAAGCCAGCTCCGAAACCACCACCGAAGAAACAGCCATTCGACAAAGTTCCAGTCCTAGCTCGCAAATACGAACCTTCAAGCACACCTATTGGCTCCGACGCCACTCTCATCGGCAGCGCAATTGAAACACTCCCATCTCTTCCAGCCCTCCAGCCGCAGCCAATCCTCCCACCGCGAAATAACGAAAGTGAAGAAGTACCCCGAAAGTTCACTCGGCCCACCTCTCCCCCGCCTCCTCCTCGCTCGCCAACCCCACCTCCTCCAGAACTCCCAATTAGCAAAGAGGACCTCCTTGCTGAGCAAATCATCTCTTCAATCGGCGACGCTACCCCTTCACCTGTTAAAAAGCCGCGGCCATCCCTCACGGAACGAGCCCGGATGTCCATGGCACACGCCAGCGCTTTCCAACTTCCCGAGACGATCGAAGAGAGTCCGCCATCACTACCACCATTGCCCACAATCCCCCAAGAGACCATCCTGAACCGACGGGCAACCTTGGCCGAACGCACACGACAATCCATGGCCCGCGTCTCGTTAGCCCCGCAGCACAAATCTCGGAAGTCCATGTCGACAAAACGGCAATCGGTCTTCCCAGTCAATCAGTTCGAGACACCGCGGAAATCGATGGCGATTGAGGAAGAGCCGAGAGGAGATTCCACGCCGAAAGAGTATCTGTTCAGCGAGAAGGCGGAGTACGAGAATGTGTTTAAGAGTCGGCCGAAGATCGCGGTAAGCCCCATCCTCTCACCAGAGAACGCGGGTGAGGATGGAGATGAAGAGGACGAGCTGCCGATGGACAGCATCCTCGAAATGGACATGGATGACTCAGGCCCGGTGGACAATTGGGAAAGTAGCCCGTTGCGGAGGCCGGCGATCATGGAACGGGGTAGAGTATAAGTGTACGGCGCTGGGTAGGATGTGGACACGATAAATGAGGTCATGCTTTCCGCTTTCTTCATTACACTATGATAGGTCTAATCTACTCCACATTCTCAAACTTCAACCCGCTCTCCTTCCGCACCGCCCCGTATATACTCGGTAGATCCCCCTTCGCCCCAAGATGCTCCTTCACCTCCTTCAGATGCTGGTCCGCAACCTCTAACCCGCGCAGCTTTGCTCCCTTTTGCTCTGCTATCTTGAGCGCGTGGCCCGCGTCTTTTCGCGCTAGATCAACCGCGAAGAGCGGATCCTCGCGCTTGTAGTAGTCACCCGCGAGCATGCGGCTGGAGTACGCGGTATACGGACCGGGGAACATGACCGAGATCCACTGGTGCAGGTTATCCGTTCCGAGCCCGGACGACTCGGCGAGGGTGTGGCCTTCAGCGAGGGACTCGACCATGTTGATGACGAAGGTGTTGCCGATGATCTTGAGCAGGGTGGCTTGGCCGGGCGCTTGGTCGCTGAAGTCGATGTTGGCGCGGCCCATGACGTTGGTGGTGTAGGGGAGGACTTTTTGAACGGAGGCCTTGGGGCCGGCGAGCACGCAGATGAGGGAGCCGGCGTCGGCCATGGCGGGGGCGCCGAAGACTGAACATGTATTCAGTCAGTCCATATGCTGAGATTCGAGATGCTGTTGGAAGGGTGGGACGTACCAGGCATGGCCACGAATTCTCCGCCGGCACCTGAGATCTTCTTCGCTAGGGCGTTCGATGTCTCTGGGCCGACGGTTGAGCAGTCGACGATTAGTTTTCCGGAAACATCTTGCTCGAGGATCGTGTCGACGGTGGATGTGACGGTGGCATCGTTGCTTAGGCAGATGAAAATGATGTCGACGTTCTTGACTGCTTTGGTGATGCTCGTAGCAATGGTGGTTTTGCCTTTGGGCAGCTTGGAGGAGAGGGCTTCGGAGCGGGAGGTGGTGCGGTTGTAGATGATGACGGGGGGGGACTCGGGACCTTTGGTTACGAGGTTAGATACCATGCCCTATGAGAGGTTAGATGGGGTGTATAGGTGGTAATTCGGTGTTTGGGGTTCGTCTTGCCCTGCCCATGTTTCCGAGGCCAATCCAGGAGAGTTGGGGAGACATTTTGAGGTGATATTAAGGAATGAAAGGGTTTCGAAGATGAGGTGAGCCTGAAGTATATCGAAAATGAGCTTCAACTTTGTGAGAAGTGGACTGAATTGAAGAAGTATTTCAACGTCCTTTTGCTTTGAAATTATAAGGAAAGGTGGAACTGTATGTACTACAGCGGAAACCGTCCGTAGTTGATAGATAAAGTCCTCGCTGCTCGGACTGTTTTAATCGCGGTACCTTACTGCTTATTAACCTTTGCGCGCCTCGGGTCAACAAAGAACATGCACAATTCACCTAAATGCCACGCGTGTATGACGCAGATCGAAATGCACGGACCTCAGCACCCGTCCCCTCCCGTCCCTCCCGACATCGGCCGATCTGTTTCTTATCTTATCGTATGCATCGAAACTTTAACTCCATGTGACTCTTCGGCCCCGCAAGTTGCACCACCATACCCTCACGCTCGAGCCATGTACGTATGTTGATGGCGATTGTGCCGGGGATGCAAGGGGAGGTAGCATGAAGCATGAACATTCGCTGCAAAGCCCAATTGCGCGGCTTGGGGACTAGGAAGCTGACGGTAACAGCCTCTCGCTTCGACTCATTTCTAGAATATACCAGCTAATCAATTGAGGATTGTAGACACATTGTAGGACCCCCACACCTACGAGACAGTATCCAAATACATATAGTCGAAGTCTACACTTCTCTTCGAGTGATGGTGCATCGGTCCCTGCCAGAGACGAAAATGATTCTCTCCTCACACCTCCTACGAAAGTCCTGAAGCCGGCGTTCCAAAGGCGTGCAGACCGCGATTGGATGGTCACGCATCTGGAGGAATCGCCGGCGAGGAGGGATAGCCGAAATTATTTGAAGCATTTCAAGCAGAAGAAGGCGGTGTCGAGGACGAGCGACAGCTTACAAAACACCGCTGGCAACGTGAATCAGGATTCATGGCGGCTGCATAAGACGGGCGTCAATTTGGGGAACCTCTATGCGCCTGCTAAAGCCATTGAGGAGAGCCCGACCTTTACCAGGGAGGCGCCATCGGAACGAATATCGCAGACTGTGGAGCCGCTGCATATTGCGCTGGTCAAGCTGAGATGGCCGCAGGGGCTGGATAAAGAGACGCTGGGTGGGATTGCGCTGACGTTGAGCCAATTGGTGAGGTTGGGGCTGAATATTGCGCTCGTGCTTGATTGTGATGGAGAGGAGGTGGCAGAGGGGCTGGAGTGGGACAAGAGCTGGGCGACGACCGTAACTGAGCAGGCCAACAGGGTGTTGGATGCGTTGCTTGAATTCAATGAGCCGGGCGCCATGGTTGTTGATCATGCCCTGGGTGTGGAGGATGTCAAGAATGAGGTGCCTACGACGGTGCATGTAAGAGGTGGGATTGAGGTCAAGCATAATAGGCTGTTGTTGCCATTATTAGAGGATGGGATCATTCCTGTTATCCCGCCGATTGCGTATACCACCGAAAACTTCCGAAAGCAGAGAATTGAGCCAGATGATGTGGTTCTGGCGTTGACAAGGGAGTTTGCAGGTATCACGGCGAGGAACATGAAAACTTCTGAAATTCATACGATGCCTCTTCATTTGAAGGCTCTTAATGTTCAAGACCAGCCCCTTCTCGATAGGATCCTCATCTTGGACCCTGTAGGAGGTATTCCATCCAAGGACCGACCGGACAACGCACATGTCTTCATCAATTTGGAACAAGAATATCGAGGCGTCAGGAACGAGCTTACGGGAGTACATACTTCACCAAAAAAGACAGGGCCTGCATCGTTGTTCGGAGGAAGCAATCCATTCTCTAAATTCGTGGAAAGCAACATCAACTTTGCGCAGACTACCCCAAATCGACATACGAAAAACCTCGATGTCGTCCAAAGAGCCCTGAAGCTACTCCCACCCTCTTCGTCTGCCCTGATAATCACACCACATGCTGCCGCCGTCTCGTCCCGTCCACAGCCAGATGACGAAACTGCCCCTACCGGAGTCCGCACCCGTCGGCCAAAGAACCCTCTCATTCACAACCTTCTCACCGACAAACCCATGGTCTCTTCTTCTCTCCCTGACGAAACAGTTCCCCACCATCGACCCAGAATAATAACTGCAAATCCACCAACATTTGTTAAGAAAGGCATTCCCGTGACCATAATCCCTGCAGCTCCTTGGGCACCACGGTCCCCTTCGAACCCATGTATAACCCTCGAAAACGATCCTCGAATCGACTTTCCGCGTCTTATTGACCTCATCGACGACTCATTCCAGCGAAAACTCGACGTCCATGCCTACCTCGAGCGCATCCGAGGTCGCGTCGCTGGTGTCATAATAGCAGGCGACTACGAAGGCGGCGCAATCTGCACATGGGAAGATCCACCCTCCTCGTCACCAAATCAACCACCCATCCCCTATCTCGACAAATTCGCCGTTCGGACGAAATCACAGGGTTCCGGGGGTGTGGCGGATATCGTCTGGCGCTGCCTTACTCGTCAATGTTTCCCAGACGGCGTTCTTTGGCGGAGTCGGTCAAATAACCCTGTCAATAAGTGGTATTTCGAGAGGAGTGTGGGCACGTGGAAACTGCCTGGCGGGAATTGGACTATGTTTTGGACGACGGAGGGAGTAGTAGAGGAGTGGGCTAAGGAGCAAGAGAGCGGTGAGGCGGGTGGAGGGAAGTGGGATGCGTATGTTAAAGTTTGCGAGGGAGTTGTGCCTACGTGGGCAGATGGGAAGAGGCCGGATTAGCAATACTTCGATAAGATGTGGAGTTTAGGTCTGATGCATTGGATCGGAATCCTGGAAACAGAGTTTGAGAAAAATTCTTTAGTACATCTGCACGTACCTTTATATCGGTTCCTGTCAGACCCTTACACACACAAGATGATTCCACTCTCTTAGGTCAAGTGTTATACCATCCCAATGTGCACACCCTCTGACCAACGCTGTTCACGTGACCCTATGCCGCTGTGGCTGAGGTCAGCTCAGGCCCGGCTCAGCTTCAGCTCAGGTCTGCTCACCCTTTGCTCACCTTGCCTCACCCTTGCTCACCCGCTGCGGCGTAGTCTCAGATGTACCCACTAAAAATTGTCAAGTTTTAGCGAGGGGCCTCAAATCTGTCCCGGGTCACGAATTTGGGTCCCATACAGTTTGGCTGGGTGTACTGCGTTGCTGTAAGCCAGACTCTCTTACATGGAAATAAAGACGTAGTCAAAGGGCTAAGGATGCATCTCGCTGGCAAACATTGATGATGGGACGTCCACAGCTCCCGCTTTGGGTCGTTTCTTTTCATATTGAGTGTTTAGGTCTACGCTATGTCTTGATCCTTCTTTTCCGAGCAGTCCGATTGAAGTACGATAGAAGTCGAATAAAGCTAACATATCTCCTTCAGCCTCGTCCATTCCAACCCAGCTCTAGTCTCGTATCTTCTTTCGCACGGCGCGGACCTAAACCTCGGCCCTGCTGTCAGTGCAGCAGTCGGGATGCCCGGTACTTCGACTAGTTCCCAACTCTGGCGCAGGCCTCAATGGCGCAGCAAGATGGGGAAGCATCGAATGCGTAGAACTACTCATCTCTCACGGAGCCATTCTGGGAAATGCTAACCCCGTGCATGCTTCACTTGAACCAGAGTCAATGGATATGCTTCTGGATGTACTTGGCCTTGGTGCTGATGTGAATGAAATGGATAGCTTTGCTCTCTTTGGGCGCGACTGCTGCGGCACGCTGTTGATAAGGGCGATCAAGAAAGGAAAGTTGGAAATGGTTAGGGTTTTGCTTGAAAAGGGTGGTAGTAGGACGATTAGAGGATGCCGGGGCTGCGGCACCCCGCTGGAAATGGTGAAAAAGAGGTGGGTGCGTCCAGATATCAAAGCCATGGTCGAGAATGATTAAGTGACGCGGAAGCCAAGCTTGATGTAAGCTAATGCCGGGAAATGATAAAGGATGGGGGCCATAGAAGGAATAACTCGGGCTTGCTGCTCGCCTGATTGAGACTATCCAGCCACAATTGTGCCGCAACAGGCAGCAGGTACAACATCAGAGTGTCTCCCATGTCCTCCCATCTTTGAGTTGTTGCATAGGTTTCCATAGAGAACCATTCTAAGTTCTTTGGAATTCTTCACAAAGCAGACCCGTCTGAGCCTTGAATATCGATCTACCTCGCAGTCAATATCTCAACCGAAGACCACCCACATACCTTCTCCCAATATGCCATTCCGCATCCTTCAAAGACCCCGCGGTCTTCAAGCTCAACTCCCATACAAGACCCACCCCATCTATCAGCTCCGCCGCGCTAGCATCTACGTCGCCATCATCGGCGGCATCCTCACCCTCTTAGCATCCACATCCGACTACTACGACCTTAACGAGCAGCCCATTTACGGCTACGCCCTATTCCTCCTCTTCATATCCTTCCTCTTTTGCCTCCACGATTTGGCAACCTACGCAATCGCAAAGATAACCCAAGCGCCCCTCCAGCCTTCACTTCTCCCGTCAACTCGTACCGAAGCACGACACTCTGACAATGGGGATGACGACGATAACCCGAAACCTAAATGGCCGAGGAAGAGATCCGTGATTACTGATGGCGTTCTTGCGGTCCTTCTTCAAGTGATGTTCTGGTTCTTCATGGCGTCCAGGTCGTACCGCTCTACAGCGACCGGGGCGTATGCGGGTTTGGCAATCTTAGTGGCTAGTATACTGCACGGGATGGCTTTTTGGAGAGGGCTCATGGCGCGGAAACATGCTCAGTGGCGGGCGGAGTTGCAGGCGAAGCCTTGCGCAAGATGCGGGTTCTTTGATTCGGAACATGGAGATGAAGGGAGAGCACAAACTTCAGGAGAGTGTCTGCGACAAGACTTACAGGGAGTGCAAATCCCAGGAGATTGGCGAGTTGGTGCAATGGCGGAGCAAAATCGAAACGCAGTAGATGTTGATGTTGAGGCTAGAAAAGACGCCGAGCGAGACCTGCTGCTGACGCCGGAAGGTAGCACGTCGTCGAGGAGCCAAGGATATGGGATGCTTAAGCGAACTGCAGAACCGATGCCGTCCGTGCAGGAGAAGACTGTGAAGAAGAAGGGGAAGAAAAGAGTCGTGGTCGATGGAAGTGACGCGGAGTAGGACGTGAAGGACAGCAAAAAGCGGAAGTTTTGGGAAGTCACGTGGAAGACACACTACAAGAGCAAATTCCGAGCCGGAGCTTTATGATGTCTGTTTGATAGCTAGGGTCTATTAGGGCGCACTGCGACCTCAACAAAGTTGTCGGTAAGCCAAACATCCATGAAGCTATGAGGGAGTTACGGACTGATTCAGCTTTGAAAATTCTACGGTCCACGCTGAGTCTCTGAGGAAAGTATTTCCAGCATTTAGAATTCTGTATACAGCTTGATAGCTTTCGAATACCCCACTGAAACAAGCCTCCCTGCTTATGATGCTGAACTTCTACAATGTTAACCATCAGGTGACACTGGCTTACGTGCTCAGGGCTGAACTCAGGCTTGCTCGTTTTGCACGGCCACGAAGTCAGGCTTGCTTAGTTATGGCTCAATGTAAAGCCCTTGGATGCTCAGGTTCAAAAGCGGAAATGGACTTTGGTGGGCCCCCGCATCGCTCAACTCCCAACTCACCACTCACGACGACGTGGCATCTTCCAGCCTTGGCTTGCTCGCAGCCTCGCCCTTCACAGGAAGGATAGGCTCCCACAAATCTGGCAGCCATTAACCTGGCTCCCAAGTCATCCTCAATGCCGCATAGAATCCCCAATTGCCGCCTTCAATCCGACTTCATCAGATGATTGAAGCCGCGACCCGCCGGCATGTATCCATGTATGTACCCAAGTCTGTCTGAACCGTCGGAACATACTGACGAACACTCTGCCGCCCTCAGGCTTCCATTGACGTCGTCTACATATTGATCGCGGCTACATAGCCGATCACACTTCAGCTACGCGCTTTCCGAAGCCCTACCTCTGTGCAATCTATCAGGCCTCTCAAGTTGTCACAGGTCCATGACCGAACTCCTTGCCCTCCTACCGCGACGGGTTACCTCTGATACATGGCCGGAGAACATAATGGACTACTATCGCAGGCGGAAGGACACAAAGATGAGGTGATCGAGACCTTGGAGAAGAGTATACTTGCTCTTTTCCTGGATGACAGCCTTGTCGTCGATCCTTTGCCTGCCGTCAATGACACAGAATTGACAGAGTTGGATCGTACGCTTAGTGTCTCGACCTACTTTACTGCCAGAAGTGTGCGAAGCAAGACTAGCATTGATACGTTTCGAACAACCGTATCAGGATCTCGAGGGCTGAATGGGAACTCTACAGCTTCGACGTATGTTCATTGCGTGTCCAATATCATCTCGTAGATCAACACTGATAGCCCCCCTAGGACCTCGTGGTACAAGTTCTTGGACTCTGAAGAACTGATTCCTGAGCCCTTGCTGGAAAAAGACTGGTCTGGTAGAGGCGAGCACGCTGAATTCGACCCAGATGAGAAACACCACATTGATGCAATTCTTAGTGTTGAGAACGTTCTCGGCACATCCGCTACTGCCCTGGTTGAGAGCGTGCGCTGTCGCCGAATTTTGCTAGCACGCAAGACTATCTTCAATCGCTGCATGAAGCGCACTGAAGCTATTAAAGAAGTCAAGCACTTGAAACGCCTCGAACACTCACACATCCTACGCGTGGTCGGAACGTACATGTTTAAGCAAAATTTAAGCATACTGTTGTATCCAGCGGCCAATGACAACTTCGAGGGCTTCATGGAGTCAATAATTGCCGAGTTTCCTGGCAAAGAAAGCGTTCCAGATCATGACGGGACAGCTCCAAAGCTTCGTGCTCTGACTAAATTCTTCGGTTGTCTTGCACATACAGTAAATTTTCTTCACCAGAACGCCACAAAGCACATGGACATAAAGCCCAAGAACCTATTAGTCAAAACGGTACGGGATAGTCGCTCTCCTCCCAGCGAAGTATCGTACAAAGTCTATATCGCTGATTTCGGAATCACTCGGGCTTACAAAAACGCCTCGGAAGCCGAGACTGACTCGCGGACCTCATTCACCAGGATGTGTGCTGCGCCTGAAGTTGATCTTAAGAGAGGACTGAATGCTGACATCTTCTCTTTGGGATGTGTATTTGTGGAGATGCTGGCAGTGTTGGTTAGCTCCGGACGAGAATCTAAGAAAGAGGACATCATGGCCATTTTACAGTCTGATGAAGATCAACCTTGGAATCCTATCAAGCTAACATCGCAGGTGTCGTTCTCTGGCTCCAGGAGGTTATTGATCTCAATACAGCAAACCCCTATTTCCTGGAGCTTTACCCCTTTCCAAAGAAGATCATTGAAATCATCGACTTCGATCCCCATCGGCGACCTACTGCTGCAACGGTCGCTTCTTATTTCAACACCGCGTCTTCTTGCTGTGTAGCTGGCGCTGGTCCGGTCCCTTTTCAAGTGGATGATGGGCTCTCCAACGACGAACAAGCCCCACAAATCACTATAACAGAGTCTAAAGATGGACCCCCCTCTGGACCCGATTTCTCGCTCTTCGAAGCCTGCCGAAAATTCCAACTACGCTTCAGTGCTGAAGAACTATTCCACCAATGGATGATACACGATGCAACCAAGCTTCTCCATGACTCTGGCAGTGTGAATACGATTGAATTGTTATGGCAATTTCTGAGACGTGGTGTCTCCTTACTACTTCTCTTCAACATTCCCATTCCACAACCACTCCCTGTCGAAAGCCCTCTCCGATCTCGAGCTGCCACTTCCCACTTTTTGAGTATCTGCGTTCGTTATCTCAACATTCCGGCGGCTGATTGTTTCACAATGCAAGATCTATACGATTCGAACATAATGGGCTTCGTGAGGGTAAGTAGTTGTAGATAATTCTGATCTTCCGATATCTACCTCTGCCACCTTGCATTAAGTGGTTTGCTAACTTTGTGAATAGGTCATCAAATTTCTCAATCGTGTCCTTTCCATACTGTACCAAAACGATCATGGGAGACCCTCTATTCTGAAAACTCCCCGGGAATTTACTCCAATCGTTACCACAGATGTGCAAAGTCCCCTCAGAACCACGTTAACCAATTTCTTGAAATCCGAACGTTCGTACGTCTACGGTCTGGAGAAGCTGCTCGAGATTCAGCGTAATGCAGAATTACTACACTTGATAACGGAAAGCTTCTCTCGGTCACATCTTATAGAGCTAGATAGGATTTTGGATTTCCAGCAACGTTTTTTGATCCAAGTAAAAGAGCTCTATCATTTCGGGGCGGATGTCAAATCATGGTTTGAGCTTTTTGTCCGTAACTGGGCGAAGTTCCAAGTTGTTGTTCCGTATATTCGGAGTCTGCCCTCCACGCTTGAACAAACGGTGCAATTTGCCGACAAACTCAACTTAGTTTTGAGCATTTTTGGGCAACAACAAAGCAACTCTTTTGGGGAATTTTCTAGCCTAAAAGCTCTCATGTTGGCTCCCGCACTTCGTTTGCTCGAGTACGAAAAAATTTCCAAGGTAAGACCGTCCTTTCCAATGTGGTAGCGTCTTCTAACTTCACTCAGGATCTTTCTGGAAGGCCAGTTGTATACCGAAAATGGACGGATGCGCTTGCGAATATACTACTTCCTTTAGAGAACCCCCTATTCTTGGAGGCTGATGTAGGGTTCATTGATCTGACCTCCATGCCACCATTTCATCGCCAAGGGCTTACTAGACTGAGTTTGACACCCATGCACTCCCGAAGCGTTTCCGCCATCAAGTCGCAACCGGTGGTATGTCGTCTGCCCAGCAAAAGATGAAACCACGTGGACCAAAAGTCACTAATATATTTCCGCTAAGTAGTATACCATGTTTCTCAGCAGACATTTGCTCCTGTTTACCGAAAGGCAGCAAAAGCTGGTTGCAGTTAGCCAGAAACCTCGGCAGGTCTTTCGTATTCAAATGAAGATGCTTTGCGAGCATATTTCAGTCACTAAGCACCCTGACTATGAAATCGCAAGTGAGTTGCAATTTCTTACCTTAGTGGTTTTATTTGGTAGGCCTTCGTCTGATATCATTTCGACTAGGTCCAGGAGCTTGGAAACTCGTCTTTCTGGAACGTAAAAAGACTTCATCCGGGACCAACCTGGCGTCATTTTCCTTGTGGTTTACGACTAAGGAAATGAGAGACAGTTGGGAGGAGTCTCTTCTGGAGCAAACACAGAGCAGACAAGATAGAGATCACAAGGTCTTCCGCGAAGGAGAAGGGTTGGAATAAAGCATGTGTCCCGTCTGCTTGGCACCGTACGACATAGTCATTACGAAGGGTCCCCAGCTTGCAGCTGAACGGACTTCAACGCCACACTCAGTTCACGTCAAATTAATCAGAACTTTTTCTCAAATCCTTTTTTGGTTCTTCTGTCAGTTCTATATTATCATATATGCCTTATCTTATCTTGGATTTTCTAATGTCGCCTTTACTTATAAACTAGTATACTAATATATATAAAATATTTTAAATAACTATAAAAGGATAATCACTTAGATACTTTACAAAAACAGTATCATACGCCTTCAATTTTTTGGCGACAATACAGCCGCCTTTAGACCTACAGACGGCGTTGGAATATATCAGCCACTCGTGACTCCATCCTTGCCTGGATAATAAAGTGGAGCAGATCAGCCTTGGGCTATTTTCCATCGGAGAGTAAGTTTACTCGAGAATTGGGATCCTGAAACTAGAACCTGGCAGGTCACAAGCCCGGAAATGGGTCTTCCAAGGCAGGGCGAAGGTCCCAGTCTTAGCCCTCCCTGTCGAATACAGGGTCCAAAACTGGGTTCCAGCGAGCTGTTCAGTCTTAGCTTAGGATGCGCTCACCCTAGCATAGCCACAGCTTAGGCTGAAGCATGAGCAGCTCACTTCCTAAGGGGGAAAGGAAGTTGCTTGGGTGCATATTGGGATGTTGTACTGCCTGTTACACAAGGGCGTCCGTGTGCGATCCGGTCAACGGCCTCACTTTTTTCCGACCTCACCTGGCAACGTTCCAAATCGAGCATAAGTTTATGCTTCTCAGATAACGGAAAATGACACGCTTGAAGATTTTACAAGTACATACAATTCTCTCATACAATGAACCAATCGCGCCTGTTATCCAGGAAGTCCCAGCGAATAGAAAAGTCGCATAGAATCTTTTTTTGACCGTCTGATCTCAATTTCGGGCTGGTGGCAGCGGCATATTGGGGGAAGGTAGTGGTGGCGGTGGCGGTGTATAGGAGGCAGGGGCCTTGTTGCTTGTAGCCATTTTATATTGATTGGGCCCAGCCGACTCAATGACTCCGCCCTGTTTCTTGAATACGCTCGATATACCAGCATCAAACAATGCCGAGAACACGAAGACAAGCCACTGCAGAATGCTCAACGCTTTCCCAGCGGTGTTCGAATGGTTGACACGGCCTCCGTCTGCGTAAGGAACGCCATTGCGCCTGTGGCCTGGCTGACCGATATTGCTGATGCCAATGCAAGTCTAACCGATATCCATACTAGGGTAAGTGCATAGCGTCTCAAGGACTCCTTGCGCTTTTCTGCTGTCTCGTTGTCCTTAATAGCGGGTTTCATGTGTCTTTTCAATAGCAGGACCAGAATTATGCTAATGACAAACAAAATGCCAGCAGCCGCCAGCAGGTAAAGAATGATCTCTGACTAAATCTTGAGTGCGAAGTAGATTAATTCTGCCGAGCTGGTCGCGCTTGTCCCGTTTTCAGCACTGCTGTCAGAGATTGAGGCGAGCAGTGCGTCAATGGCTTTTCCGGAGCTGGGCTGGCAAAAGAGTTTCGCCGATTTGTCTACTGTGGAGGCACAGATGCCTACTCAACCATTAGCTTCTCATTCAAGCTAATATTGTATATCTGCAAATTACCAAAGTAATTCACGCGTACCTACGCCGTGTTGTTCCTCCCTTCGAGTTGCACTGCGAAGACACCGAGAATACCTGGAGAGTTGGAAACACAGGCGGTGAGACATATAGCTGATTCCGGGTTAGTAACAGAACTAGCCAAAGTGTTATTATCTACGAGCATTACCATAGAAGACCAGGGCAGGTATAGGTAGGAGGTAAATCCACAGACGGTAGGTCGCGTCATCTAGGAGGAAAATTAGGATTATGGAACGAACGGCATGACTAGCACTTACGCAGCCGATCAGAGACACCCATGATTCACAACAAGTTCTGGCGGTTGAGGACGATTTCTGATGTTTCGGGGAGTGAATAGGAGTAATCAAGGGTAATATTTCGATGTTTTGCTGATCTGTGCTGGTCTGAGCTACTCACGTCGGGGAACCACTGGTCCTAATTATCTTCTGAAGTCGCTGCGCTTTTCCTAGTCTCAGCGACAGTGCGAGTGTGCTTTTATAAGCTTACAACGCAAATCCTCAATACAGGCGCGCACCTTCCAAGGTTCTCTCACGGTAGTAGTCTGTTTGCGACAGCCTCAAACACCCCGGGCCAGGAGGAATTTCCCGTTTCTGAGGCATCCTCCGGGTGGCAATTCTAGCAGACTCGAGCCCGGGCGTTTTGATTCGTCTGAGAAGTGCTTTCCCCTGAGTCCTTTTAGTTACCAACAGCTCTGTGTTGTTTGAGCCTTTTTTGTCAAGGCGCAGCAGTTCTGAGGTGGACCCACAGCAGGCGTCGCCAGTGAGCGACAGTCAGAGGGAAAGTGGATCAAGACAAGGTGTGTAGCCAAAAGCTGTTGTATTGATGATGGTGAGGAAGCTAGCTATTGAGCGGAAGGGAGGAAAGATATACACAAGAAGCTGCTAGGTAAGCGGCTAGACAGGAAGGGGCCGACACCAGCAACTGGAATGTCTAGCAAGGGCGCCTTTTATAGTCCGTTACTCTCATTGCTCAATCTTCTAGTGCTAAAAGGGGAGTCTTCCTTCTGCGCCTCTTCCCGTGTCTTTGATTCATTCAGCAAGCGGCAATGCGAGACATATGGAACTCTTCACTTAACGCTCGTTAACACAGGCTCTCTTATTGCTCCATGAGCCGCCTCTATCGTTTAGCTGTGTTTCTAGTCTTCCTTCGGTCCAAATAACTCGTCGAGGGAGCCAGCAGCTACGCCGCAGCCGACCAAATTGATGTCACTGCCAATGAAAGCATCTTTCTTGAAAGACAGTGAAACTCTGGCACATCTCTCCGCGCGCTTCGTAGTTGTTACAAGCTTTCCTGCAGGTACTATGGCTAAAACATAGCTACGTTACCCACTATTGAGGCGAGTGCCTGAGTGCACGCGCCATTAGTTCTTGAAGTAGAGGTGTTCGCGTTCGAAACTCGAAGCTAAAAGCTGTGCCACACGCAAGTGTACAACGCTAGACCACCAAAAGCTTCCGAATAGTGGAGAGTGATCTGTTGCTATCCTTGGACGACTATTTGGGGCGGTTACTCGCAGGAATGTTCCTCTCGCGAACAAAGTCCAACCGTGCATCATCGTAATGGCGAGACAACAGAGGAGAAGTTGATCCACTTTGATGAACTCAGAACCCCTTTGCCGTAGGAGGCGGAGTGGGGGCACAGCAGGTGGGGTTATTCGACACCTTCTCAACCTAGGTTGACAGTCTGGACTATGAGATTAGCATGATACATCACATAAATAGTACCTCGGGGTCACTACGTTTTATTCATCCAAACCACTTGAGTTCGTGCTCAGATCATCCAATCTCTACCCAATTCTAGATTATTCTTCTTCACTTAGCCCATTGCCCAGGCCGTCTGTCAGGGAGTAGCGGTGAGGGCTACGGCAGGAACGAGTTACCTCTTGTATATAGCCTCACCTTCCGGACCTCCCTCTCTTCCAGCGTGGTTAGTAAACCGGCCAATCCTCAATCGGATTGATGGCCGGTTTGTTAATACGTGCTCATAACAATCCAATCAATCAATCTAGGCCCTTTCCAATTCTTAATCCGTCTAATAGGTACTAGAAGCCTCCTGCTTAGCCTAAAAAGGACAAGTTTACACTCCTTTTAGGGTTTTAGTTGAATAAGTGCCAATCCCGCCAATCAATCCACGCTTATAAGCGGCCAGTCCAATCCAATCCCTATTTTTGTCCAGCTAGTCCAGTCCAATCCAGACCCGAAATTGCAATCGGCCGGTTCACTAACCACTGTTGACCCTTTCCTCTCTAGCAGACTTACTCAGCACCTTGTGTATATCTTTCCTCCTTCCACTCAATAGCTAGTTTCCTCACCATCATCAATACAACAGCTTTTGGCTACACACCTTGTCTTGATCCGCTTCCCCTCTAACTGTCGCTCACCACGCTGCTCTCTTCTCTATTATCATCATCCAATACATCACGACTCAGGTTGAAAATTGATGTGAACTCTGTCTTATTTCGGGGGCCCGAAGGCCAAACTATATACTACGTAGGAAGTGACTGTATGCATAGGCAGAAGCACTAATTGGAGGCAGCAGTAGGCAGCATTAGGCAGGGTAGGCCACCGTACCCCAACCCCTCTCTGTAGAAGTTGTAACTGGCTAGGCATGTAGGCAGCTACTATGCCAGCAACTCCAAGTCTGTACGTAGGTGACCGTGAACCGTATGAGTTGTTGATCCTAGGTTGTAGCTGTTACAACCCGAGTTCACGTACACGGCCTACAGCTCCTTGTTCCGTGACACCGTCCGTGTCTTGCCTGTCATGTCATACCGAACCATCTACCTTCTTGCGTTTCGCAGACTGTCTAGTCAGCGCGCCCATTTCTCTATATGGGTTCCGTATCAGGAGGGTGGTGAAACGGGCACCGCTATTCATGTCATCGGCACTCCGATGAGCGGATACAGTCTGGAATTCAAACGTGCATATAAACCAGAGTATACCGAGGAGCCGAAAGAAATGTTCGCAATCGGGCAGATCAATGCGGAAAACGTTCATGACTGGCCCGGAACAAGACAAGATGACTCAACGCCGATAGGTAATCTTGAGGTTGTTGCAGCTCAGATACCGCCACCTAGGAAAAGCCAAAACTTCTTGGCGCCTGTGAATGATGTGAGTAAGGTAGCTTGGTCAGTTTTCGAAAAACTTTAACCTCTCTTCTAGACTACGAACCGTCGATGTCAAGAGTGGACCACCGACTTCATTCGCCGCCTCGTTGAAACCCAATACCTCGACAGCTCTGTACTAGATCAAGTCCAAGCGAGGCGAGACCCACCAACCCATGGCGTCTTTAGCCTGCAAGGAGGGCTGCAGAGAGGAGCTGGACAGCCAGCTCAGGCCCAAGCAGTGGCACAGCAGTCTCAACAAACCCCCGTTCAGCAGCAAGCTCCCCAAACTCCCGTTCAGCAGCAAGCTCAACAAACTCCCGTTCAGCAGCAAACTCCCGTTCAGCAGCAAGCTCCCATTCAGCAGCAAGCTCCCCAACAGCAAGCATCTGGCATTGGCAGCAGCTGGGTTTGGGACACTACCCATCAGAGGAACAGATACTTCAATGGAACGACATGGGTTTGGGACACCTAACGCAGTTCGTATTGTCCTAAATTGGTTGCTAGCGTGATGAAGTTGCTGATGGTAAACAGTCAAGAACGCCCCTTGCATACTCGTACAGTACTAGGTCATAAGTTTGGGCACACGGGCATCTCACTGCTCGGGCTCCACTTCTGCTCCTTCAACACCACTGTAAAGAGTGTCACAGCTAGCCTATCTTTGGTCAGTCAAATGGTAGCCCTATTTTGACTGCGTCAAGTTTCACATCCTACTTGGAGTTCAGAGGACCTATTGAGATACCGATACCCCAAACAGATGAAAGGAGTGCTCAAATTAATGGCCTGGTACTGCCCTCCCCCCACCCCGATGACCCGTTGTTTCCTTGAAGTGTGTTGCTGAATTCTACATTGTCGCTCGCTCCTTGCTTTTGTCTCCGTTTTGTGCTGTTTTCTCGCGAGGAATGCCGGACCAATCTCTTGGTTCATTTTCCACTGTCCAACTCTTGTCTTTCATTTAAGGCGCGGTGTTGGCCGGCTATTCTTTAGTTAGTTTCATACTAGAATGCATGAAAATCTGCTGTTTTGCTTACAATAATCCCATCGATACCCTATCCCATCACGCCAGCTCAACGCCCTATCGCTCCCCTATAAAATTCAAACGCTTCTTCAGCAGACGGCTGAGGCGTGAGAATCGAACTAATCCACCCAGCACTGAACCACTCCTCCCAATCGCCTACCGTGTACACCGTCTTACAGTATTCCCAATAGTCCGGATACCAGCCGGACTGTTCCCAGTCGATGATAGCGACAACCTGGACAGGACTTGTAGCTGACACAATGATGTTGCTTCGATGGAGATCACCATGCGTGAGTACTACAGGGCTGTTATCGTCCAGTAGTTGTCTCCAGGGATCTGCAATCTCATTCGGTTCCGGGGCGTGGCGACGCCATAACCATGACAGCCAGTTGTGGAAGCTCGCGACAGATGTCCAAGCTGGCTCGGGGGAAGGTTTGAACTCTAAGATTCGGTCCTTCGATGGGCCTCCCAAGAATTGGCCTGACGCAAACTCTGTTAGCACAGGTGACCAAACTAAGAAATCTACTAACCAATGAATTCCCTAGACGGATCTTGCTTGATTGAGCGAAGAGCCTGCAAGATGAAGTGGAGATGGCTGCACACCGATTGTTTATCCTGGTAGTCCATTGTAGGCCACCGTTCTAACAGTGTCGGACCACGAATAAGCTGCATGTACAGATAGACGTGATGGCCCTCTACTCTCCACCCATATACTTCTGGGACTGGAACCTGACTGGAAAATAGTCGTTTGACTGTTCTGAGACATATGGCCTCGGAAACGTGTACGCGATCGCCGAATTTGACAACGAGATCAAGCTCCTCAAACTTAGCGACTTTTTGAAAGCTATGTAGGCCTAAACCGGGGAATAGAGCCCTGACTTCCCCCGGAGACGGCAGAGAGCGTGTGAGCCCGTGAGTTTTGGCCCACGTGGAGTCTTGGAACGTTATGTGGGTTTGCGAGGCATCTGGTAGGTCCGCATATAACACCTGCGGGGTCACGGCCATTTTACTACGATTAAGACCACTCGGTGGCGGGGATTTTGACAGAATTGCAAAGAGAAGGAAGGTGGAAGCCGGACATAGCGTGACGGGAGTTTGAAGTGCAAGACTGGCCGCCGTGTTTGTGCGGCTCAGGCGGCGTAGGAGGTGAACGAAGGCTTGGTCCGGTGAAGGCTGGAGCCCCGTGTCATAAGTCACATAAGCGAGCCAAGCTGGAAGTTACCTTTATAGTCTAACTCTACTCTATATATATGTACAATGGCACCACGTGCCGGCGGGTAGAAGCGGTTTAGCGGAGAATTCAAAAGGAACGTCAATAGAAATCATCTCGCGTCACCACCACTTTTACGTTTCTTTCACGCCACCAGGACTCTCCCATATCAATCCAATTCTCTGCCCTCGACTCTATACACCCCAAAAACCTCAATCCCACCACCTGAAATCTCAAACTGCACCCTCACCCTCCAATCCTGCAACCATGGCCTCCAAAACCCGCCCCGCCATCCCACCCGTCGTAATGGACACAATCACCCAAAACATCGGCAACACGCCCCTCGTCCGCCTAAACAAAATCCCCCAATCCCTCGGCATTCCCTGCACCGTCTACGCAAAACTCGAAATGTTCAACGCCGGCGGCAGCGTCAAAGACCGCATCGCCCTGCGCATGATCGAGGAAGCCGAGAAGAGCGGCCGCATAAAACCGGGCGACACCCTCATCGAGCCCACCTCGGGAAACACGGGCATCGGGCTTGCACTGGTAGCGGCCGTCAAGGGGTATAAGACGATTATTACCCTGCCGGAAAAGATGAGCCCGGAGAAAGTGGCGGTGCTGCGGGCGTTGGGCGCGGAGATCATCAGGACGCCGACGCAGGCTGCGTGGGATAGTCCCGAGAGTCATATTGGAGTTGCAAGGCGGTTGGAGAAGGAGATTCCGAATGCGCATATTTTGGATCAATACGCCAACCCTGATAACCCGCTTGCGCATGAGTATGGCACTGCGGAGGAGATTTGGACGCAGACGGAGGGGAAGATTACGGTGTTGGTGGCAGGCGCGGGGACAGGCGGGACTATTACGGGCATCTCGAAAGGTTTGAGGAAGCATAACAAGGCTGTTAAGATTGTTGCGGCGGATCCGTATGGCAGTGTGCTGGCGGTGCCTGAAGCGCTGAATCAGGAGCATGCGAATGAGGCATATAAGGTTGAGGGCATTGGGTATGATTTCATTCCAGACGTGCTAGATCGGGAAGCCGTGGATGTGTGGTACAAGACGGATGATCGGGCGGCGTTTGGATATGCGAGGAGGTTGATTGCTGAAGAGGGTATTCTGTGCGGAGGGAGCAGTGGGAGTGCAATGGATGCTATGGTGAAGGCTGTAAAAGACCTCAAGTTGGGAGCGGACGACTTCGTGGTGGTAGTGCTGCCAGATAGCATACGGAGCTATCTGAGCAAGGTATGTTTCCCTCTCTGCTCAATTCAACGCTTCAAAATCCCTCAGAGTATACGAAATGATCGATGATATTAATCTGACGCAGTTCGTCGACGATGACTGGCTCGCTGCAAACGACCTCCTTCCTCCCTCCCTCCCAATCACTCCAGCAACCCTCTCCCGTCGTGCATCTACTTCGAAGAAAGATGACTCTTTCCAGGGCGCAACTATCGCCTCGCTCCGCCTCAAGCCCGTCACCACCATCTCCGCCGCCTCTCCGTGTGCCGACGCCATAGAGACCATGCGCGAGAAAGGCTTCGATCAGCTGCCCGTCTCTTCAGCACATGGCTCCCGTCTCGTCGGCCTCGTCACGCTCGGAAACCTGCTCTCCTACATCAGCTCTGGCCGCGCGGGTCCTAATAGCCCGGTGAAGGACGTCATGTTTGACTTCAGCAAACTGAGTGAGGTTGTCACTGATGTGCGGGATTTGCATCTTAGTGACCACAAGGAGGAGAAAGATGGGAAGAAACACCGGGAATTCCTAGAGATCACGCGAGATACCCCTCTAAGCGCGCTCAGTCGATTCTTTGAGTGGAATTCAGCGGCCGTGGTAACGGAGAAGGGGGAGAGCGGCATGAAGGCTGTAGCGGTCGTGACGAAGGTGGATCTGCTGGGATGGCTGGTTAAGCACCGGAAAGGGGTAGCGTAGGTGAGAGCGTCGGGAGTATGGAGGTCTTGTCTTATTCAACATGACATGATAAGGAGTCATTTCCCCTGACGCACGACCGTGGTGTAGAATAGGGGTCCGGGATGCATTGCAAAAGGCGTTTGGAAGGTGCATGTGATAAGCTGGTGTTCTTCGACGACGGGACGATTAGATGGGGTAGGAATGAAACCATTCTGACATCGACTGTATAGCGACTTCGTCTTATAGTTCTTATACTTACTTCCATTGATTGCGAATAAAGGTTTGTACTCAGTTTTGCTTTCTCCCATCTTCAAGGTTGTCAATGAATATGGAACAGTCATTGACGATGGATTTGTCTGCACTCATTTTCGTCGCAATATATCCTTGAACAGCTTTCAGCGCACCCTTTCATTTTTTCCTCGAACCCCGTCTCAACCAGCCTTCTCGCGTTCTCCAAAATTATACACGTCCATAATCACGCCAGCTCTCCTCCATCAATCGAATACGCAACCCCTGTGATGAATCGACTCTCATCTCCCAGTAAAAAAGCAGCGAGACTTGCTACTTCTTCCGCCTTCCCTATCCTCCCTAATGGGTTCGACGGCACGTAATCCGGGTATATCTCCATGGTTAGGTCAGCCATCGGCGTCTGGATCATCGCCCTAAAAACCCATCAGCTCTTGCACCATTCAGCAAACTCCCAACTTCCCATTCGAACGGCAAAATAATTGAAATACAACACATACGGACAGAAACAGTTAACCCTTACCCCCCTACTCGCAACCGTCGGATCCTTCGCTGCGCTCTTCGTCAGTCCCACAACCCCATGCTTACTCGCTGTATACGCCGCGCCCCCGGCCGCACCGTGCAGTCCAGCAATGCTCGACGCGTTCACCACACTCCCGCCGTCCTTTATTACTTTCAGCTCCTCCCGCATGCAGTACATTACCCCCGTCAGATTTACCGCCAGCAAGAAATCCCACTCATCATCATCCACTTCCGTAATCGCTGTGAACCCGCCAGCGTGCGTCTTGTTTAGCACGCCCGCGATATTTGCCGCGCCGTCTAGGGGGCCGAGCTTCTCAACGGTTCCGGAGATCCAGGCGCGCACTGAGGCGGCGGAGCGGACGTTGACTGCTGTGGTGATCAGCTTTGTTCCTGGGGCGGCAGCGAGGATGGATGCTGAGGCTGTGGCGAGCGCGGCGTCGTTGATGTCGGCGAGGGAGAGGGTGGCGTCGCGGATAGCGAGATAAGTCGCGAGCGAGAGACCGATGCCTGAGGCGGCGCCGGTGATGGCGATTACTTTTCCGGCGAAAGGGTGCGGGGAAGCCATGGTGCTGAAAATCTGGGGTATGAGGTATGGGGTTCTGGGGAGGATGGCGTTCTTTATGGTTGGTGAAGAATCCCGGAATCTGCGTCTGACCGGAATCGGAATTGGCGAAGGCGTGTGATTGGACTCCGGGCTCGGCTTTTGCGTTAGTGTCTTGGTAAGAGAAAGAGGGTCGGTCACTGAAATTGGAACTGAGGTCGGGGCATAGAGCAAGAGAAGATGGATTCTCGCATACTGTGGGACGCGATGTGAAAATGGCCGTTACCACGCGTGAGGTTTGGGCCTTCTCCAGTTTTTGATTGAAGGTAAGAAAGGATTCTCTATGTCAGTGTAATCTCCTTGATCCTGTTCTCACTCTTTGCCATATGAAAATGTCTTTGCCCTAAGATCTGTCGACATCTCGGCACTCGCTTCCCCATCTCTGCGTCTTCTTCTTCTTCATCATCGTTTCCAGCTTGAACACTTTCATTATTCGTCAATCACCTCCATCTAAGAGAATAAGCGGTTAGCACAGGGTGAAGTGCCATGGTGGGACGAAATGCTTATTGAGAGAGTAGTCGTGACTTCGACGAAAGCTTCTATGAGGCGACACTAAAACCTCGTAGAAAAACCAGGTTCGCATTGAATCGCTCCTATTGAAGAACAAACCTCGGCGTACTAGTCTCTCATGCAGGCCGTTGTTTCGTCGTTATTATCAACGAGAGCAGAGCTGGCCCTGTGAAGGTTGAACTTCGCCCCCTGTCTTCTCCCTATTCGTATATCTCCACGTCGCCCCACTCTCGATCTCGCCTGCACCCGTCCGCTTAAAGAAGTCGACTTCAAGAAGAATGAAAGAGCTTGGAAGAACTGGCTAAGTTACGTAAATAATAACGGTGACTTTAGGTGAGGGGAATTGATAGGAAGTCACGTGAGAGCGGAGGCGGAAGTCCGTCACCGCTTCACCACTCGCGATTAGAAGGTAAGCTAGTAAAGAGTGTTGAAGGTTCTGTGAGGGTTGCAAAAGCCGACTGAAAGAGGAAGACATAAAATATCGTTGTCTGGGTCTAAGATCTAGATCATTTTCAACCCTAATATCCGCTCTCTTCGTCCGTCTCTGATCTAGAAAATTATGGCCATATTCTCGGACGCCAGAGCCGAAGACACTAGACCTATTAAGAGTACGACTGGGGCCGATATTAGTCTTGCCGCGAGAACCAACGCTCTTACCTCCCCAACTTCAGGACTTGCACCAACCTTCTTGCAAGCCAACCTGGTCATTCTTCCATCTCGATACGCTTCCGACTTTCGCCTCCTCTGTGCCAGAAACCCAGTACCATGTCCACTGATTGCCGAGTCAATATCGATCGGCTGCTGGAGCTCTGTGACGTCCTTCATTCCAGGTCTAGAGGGTGCAGCTATCTTGTCCGACTGCGATATCCGCCGCGACGTATCCAAATACATAGTGTACAAGAACTCGAAAATCATGAAGCAAGGATGCCTAGACATCTTGGACGAATGGACTGACGATTATGTTGCTCTCCTCATCGGATGCTCGTTCAGTTTTGAGTCTGCCCTGATCGTGGCTGGTCTTCCTCCCCGACATACAGCTTTGAATCGAAATGTGCCCATATACCGGACGAACATTCCGCTTTGTCCCGCTGGCGTCTTTACGGGAAGTACATACGTCGTGTCTATGAGATCTTACAAGGCTTCGGAGGTGGAGAAGGTGCGAGAGATAACGAGGCCCTACACAGCGACGCATGGAGAACCTATCGCATGGGGCTGGGGTGCGGTCAAGCGATTGGGTATTGAGGATATCGACGCACCGACTTGGGGCGAGCCGCCGTTAACGCAAGATGGGAGGCCGCTGGGTGAGGTGGAGGGGAAGGATCACGATGTTCCCGTTTTCTGGGGGTGCGGCGTCACTCCGATGGAAGCAGTGGCGAGGTCTGGATTGGAGGGAGTCGTCATGACACACGATCCTGGTCATATGCTTCTCTTGGACTGTCGCGATTCTGATATAGTGCCGGCTGCTTGTGTTGCATAGGGCGGCCATGCAACATCAACGCTGGAAGTAACTGTCACGTGATATGGTATCAACTTCCAGCTCAGTTCAACCACACACATAGTTAGAGCACTCCAAATTAAGACATAAGTATTCCAACTCTAATACTTCGGTCATTATACGGGTAATAGTGCTGGTCCCAATGTCACCGCGCGACAAACCTTATCGTCAAGGATTTGCTGCGCCGCCTGTGCCACACCGACATCTCAATTGCTTACCACCTCTACAATGTCGGAGTAAGTTCGAAACGAGCTAGTATCTCATGCTCATGCAGATTGCACATTACCGATTCCAGTTTCCAGGGACCTTCTGCGGTGTGGCGACAGTCCAGCGCCAATTGCTGCTAATATCTCGGGGGTTTGACTCGGCCTACTGGAGCTAAATTCCTCTATATTGACGGCTATCAACCACTCATGTAGCCTGATATCTTTAGATCCAACACACTAGCGCTTAGAGCTGAATCGTGACTGTAGGTTTAAAGCGCGGACTGCCCGTCCCCTAGAACTAAAGCCAGGAAACAGGAAGCTGTCAGGAACCGGTAAACTGGAACCTGTAGAATAATATAGGTCCCTACAGCAGTACAGGAAACGGGAAGTCGTAACGCTCTAATGAGAGCATAAGTATGTTGGAAGTGTCCCTAAGATGGCAGACATCGCAGAAAAACCGACTCGCTATTGCATCACCGCACTAAACATCCCGCCTTGTTGATCAAGTCACCTCCTGAAGCACCGCCGCTCTGATAGTGTCACCTTTCACTATAATCGATCTTTTCATATACTCTCTAAAGCCTACGTTCAAGCAAGATGGCATATTCACAACGTTCAACCCAAGCGCCGTTGACTGAGACAATATTCCCACATCAGAACAACGGTCCTCGTACAAGTACTTGCCAGCACAAGGTGCCAGCGACCACGGATCATGGCCAGGCCTTACCGGAATCTGAAAGATTCTACCTTTCTCAGCAAATTCGTGCAATCAAGATACAAGACTTTCTCGACAAGAGCAAAACCCCTCCGAGTGTTCTGCCCTTCAGTTCAGTGGCGACGTCATCCTTCGAAATCTGCCAAATCTGCAAGCTTCAGGTCTTGAATCAGGTCTATTCCACTATCGAGATCGTGCGTAATAAAATCAGGGTTATGGCTCTCCATCGACAGCACGTTGACGAAGACGTGGCGTTTCGCTACATGGTCAACGTACTTCAATGCCTGTATTTTGAGACGGAATTTGATGCTTGGCAATTAGATATCGGGGAACTTGCAGGGGATGGTTTGAAGAGGTATTTGGAGGATCGTCTTGTGGAGTTCCAGCACATCTACAACTTTTGAGAGGTAGTTCTCGGTAGGACTACTGGGTCCGGATGAGATGGATGAGATAAAGGATGTCGAAGGCTCTCGTTGAAGAGAATGAGGAAGTTGCTGGGACGACAAATGTAAATCAGAAGGATTGAAGGCGGTATTCATGCTCGCAATAGTTGAATATTGGTGTCTTTTTGGCTTGAACGCGAGCACGAAACAGGTAGTACGATATCCCAATGTGCACCCAAGCAATTTCCTTTCCCGTTCAGGGAACTGAGCTGCTCATGCTCCAGCCTGAGCTGTGGCTGTGCTGGGGTGAGCGATCCTGAGCCGAGACTGAGCAGCTCGTTGGAACCCAGTTTTGGGCCCTGTATTCGACAGGGAGCATTGAGACTGGGGTCCTCACCCTGCTTCGGAAGGCCCATTTCCGGGCCAGGTTCCAGTTTCAGGGCCCCAATTCTCGAGTAAACTTACTCTCCGATGGAAAACAGCCCAAGGCTGATCTGCGCCACTTTATCATCCATGCAAGGGCAGAGCCACGAGTGGCTGATAGGTTCCAACGTTGTCGGTCTAGAGGCTATATTGTTGCCAAATAATCGAAGGCATACTATACTATTCTTACAAATGCTATTAAATAAAATCTCCCTAAGTTGCCATAGTGTGTATTGTTACGTGCGTCTTCCGAGTTGCGCCTGACACTGAGGCCGGCTCGCCCTTGGCTCGACTCAGAGCCTATTGGCCCGAATCAGACCAGCCCAGACCCCGCTAGCCCTCTAGCGTTGGGGCTTGTGCGCCCGGGGCAGCCATAGGATAAACAGCTGGTTCCCCCCTCTTTTATAAAAGGGTAAGCGGTTCGTTCTTAACTTAGCCTTAGTATATATAGCTTTTACCTATTACCTGCCCTTTTTAACTTAATAAATAAACTCCTACCCTAAAAATACTTAAAAGCTATATATACTATAGTATAATAATTTATTTTATCTAATATATATTTAAGTTATAGTAAGGTATTATTATATAAATATATAAACTATAAGAATTTATTTAAAGTATAATATTAATAGTAAAATTAAAAGGTATAAGTAAAGATAAAGTTACTTTCTAATAATATAAGTACTAAAAAATCTTAAAATAAATATAAACTATTTAAGGAGGTAAAAACTGTATTTTAAATATAAAACTAGCTTCTAAGAAATTTGTTAAATTACCTTAGATTACTATAATTTATTATAATTTACCCTTATAAATCGCGTTAGATTATTTTAATTTATTATATAGCCTTTATCCTATAATATTCTTTTTATTAGGCTATATTATTTCTAGAAATTTCTAGTATTTAGATTTACCTAAAATACTTATTTTAGAGGTTTAGTAGTATTTCTTTTTAGATTATACCTATAATACTATTTCCCCTATTTAAGCCTATTATTTTAATAGCTACGCCTAAGTAAAATTCCCTTAAATAAATAGCTAGTAATACTCTACTTATAGGTTATATATTATTACTATATTATTTTTTTTTTATTATACTAACTAAGGTTAAATAATATTTAATTTTTAGCTTTTATATTACGTTATTAGGAATTTTTATACCTTTTTATTTCTTTTATTATAAATATAGTTTAAACTATAAGGTGCTTTTAGTAGCTGCGGGCTAATACGAAAAATATATTTATTATAGTCGCGCTTATTACAATATTAGTAGTATATTTATAGCTAACTATAGGTAATTAAAACTTTATTCCTTTTTTACTATTAATTTTTCTAGTTACTTATATTAATACTGCGCGTGCAAAGCTTTATATAAATAAGTAGGCTACTTATAAGGCCTATTAGGCGGCTGCCCTTATCTTTATAATATTTAATACTAAACTTAAGCGTTTTAAAAAGTAGGAGAAGCTTTTAAAATATTATAAAAGTAATATACTTTATTTTAGTTTCTAAACTTTAAAAAAGCTTAAATAAGAAAATTATAAAAAGGTTACCTAAAAAAAATAAAAACGTGTTAAATAGAAAGTTGCTTTACTATTAAACTTTATGTTTTCTTCTACCTTTATAGTTTTAGGTAATTTTTTTAATTCTTTATAGTTAATAGGAGCGTGTAATAGCTATATCCTGCGCCCCGCATAGGGCATGCAGGTCGCGCGCCATCACGTGCGCAAAGGTCACGTGACCCTTATAGTCCGTGCACGCAAGCCGAACTATAACTATAGAGCTGGCGCTGCCGTAGCTCCTTATAGATTCTTCCTAGTTACAATCAACAACCTGTTTCCTACAACACCCTCTTAGTTCCGTGACACTAAGAATCTATCTTCCTTGCTCCAGGAAAGACAGGAGCACTACTACTACTACTACTACTACTACTACTACTACTACTACTACTACTACTACCCCTTCGACGCACGACGTCGCCGTCAGCCTGATTCGGAGTGCTTGTACCACTGCCGACAGCCCGACAACTTTTTTCTTTCACTACCTCAACTCCGCCTAGGTAAAGGCGCTCTTCTCTCTTCTCTATTAAGCCATGGTCACCACTCCAGGTTCCCCACGAGGAGGAGCGAAGAAGATTAAGAAGAAACCAACTATTCCCCCCGCCGCCGCAGGTGCGTCGTTAACGACGCGCCACGCCCCCCGCCCCAATACAGCTCCAATTCCAGCAGCGGCTTCGCAGGCAGAAACACAAGAGACTCTAGGCACTGATTCCCAGATGCGCCAGCGCGGTACTCACGTTGGTTCCAAGCCCGAAGAGTCCGCCGCAATCCTGCAAGCCCGCGCAACACAATGGAAGGGAGGCAAACTCATTCACCCGGACGATTCAGATGTTGACGACGAAGACGACGATGAGGGCGGCGCCCCTACCGGAACTCAGTCAACCGCCCTGGTACATGACGACGGCAAGACAACCGCAGCACTCTCCGCTGCTGAGGACAACGACGTCCTTGCTACTCTTGACGGAGAGATAGCCGCCTATAGTTCGCGACTCTTTAAGGCCCGTTAAGGCCGGCGTTCTACTCTTCTTGTCAAAGAGAACAACAACCTCGTCCTAGGCGTTGGAGCCGACGAGGGCGAGGATAACTGGGTCCGGCATAAGATTACAACGACAACTTAACTCCAGGAGTCAGTCCAGGCCTAAGGCGATAAGTGGTTTAACCAGATTCACCACCTGTCTAGCATGCAAGGCATCTATAATAAGTATAAGAACACAGCACGCATGCAGGCCGCCGGACTACGTAATAGAGCAGACCATCTTTAGCGAGACTTAGACGCCTCTTCCACAAAGCTATCTAAGACTAAACGCGAGCTCGAATACTCGCGCCAGGCCAACGTTGATTACCGCGCAGACCTAGCGGACATCAACGTATAGCTGGTCAAGCGCATTAACCGTTGCAACGAACTCTCTGCTTAACTCTAGGCCTCTGTTATTGCACACCAACGCTCACGTAATAAGGCGATGGACTTCCGCGATGAAGCGGAGCATGTTAACGCCGAGAACATCGCCCTCTAAGCCGAGAAGGCAGGGCTGGAGGAGAAAATCCGTCGCCTAGAGCAGTCTTAACCCCAGCAACACGCTTAATTTGTCACCCCCACCCCTGGCTATGGTTCCGACGACGAAGACTATACTGCCTTCCTTAACAACCTCCGCCAGGCCCGGGGAGCCCCTACATCCACGGCTGCTTCCGCAAAAGCCCTAGTATATAGAACACCTCCCAATATAAATTGCTCGCGTATAGCTTATAGTATGCAGAATATAGGAAGTATGCGGGATATAGGAAGTATGCATCTAGATAGACTGTATAATATAGGAAGTATGCATAATACGGATAGACTGCATAGCAAGCCAGACAACTACCGCGATATTACACCTACTCCCTTTACCGGACTCCGCGGTGGTGCGGACCAGCGCTCGGATACTGGCGAAGAGGAAATCCTTAATAATAAGAAGTTTCCTAATCTTTAGAACTTCTATAGAGATAAGGATTGCAATAAGTTTAAGGAATAGCTTATTTACGCCTAGGATAAGGTTAAGAGTAGTATTACCCTGTTCCTAATAGAGAACTCTAAGATTAAGTATATTTATGCCTATCTAAAGGGCACTGCCTTTTAATCTATTAAGGAGTAAGTAAAGCCGGCCAGCAATAATCTATTCTATACTATTTAAAAGATATTCTAAGAACTAGAAGATAAATTCGGTAATTATAATATAGAGGTTAAGGCGGGTAATAAGCTATATAGTAAGGATTTTAATATAAAAAAGATAGAATTTTTTAATACCTTCCTTACCCGTATAAAAACCTACTTTACGCCTTTCTACTACTCTAATATTTAAAAAATTAACTAGATAGAGTATAAAATAATAACCTTCTTCTAAAGCCGCGTTTTTAATAGAAGTAAGTTTAATTCCTTTTAATAGTTCTATATCTGCGCCTGTATAGCCGTGCGCTCTATTAATAAACTTAATAAGAAGCTTTAAGAAAAGCGGGCCTTTTATAACTAACTAGACTGCCCTTATTATTAGGATAAAGGTAATAACTATAACCGCTGCAACGGCTAATAAAATAGTTAACGCGATAACTGCTATAAAAGTTAGCGCGATAGAGGCCGCCCTGCAGGTGCTTTTAATAAGCCTTTACTCTATCTCCTGCAATATATTACTAAGCTCCTAGTAAAGCAGAACTACTACTTCTACTACTTAGACGTAGAACACCGCCTAGGGCCTACTTATCCTATATTTAGTAAGACTACTACCTATAAAAATACTAAGAAAAAGCTCTATAAAATTAGAATTAATCTTATATTTCTTAAACAGCTTAAGCAGGAATAGGCCGAGCGTGTTAATAATAAGGTATACCTAGAAGCCGCTGTAGTTAAGGCCTTAGGTAATAAGAACTACTCCTTATTAGGGGAAAAGTAGTCCCTGGCAAAAATCGATGCTAGGGATATTTACTATTATAGTAGACGCGTAATATATTTCAGCTCCTTTAGAATAAGATTAAATAGCTAAAATAACCCCTTGCTAAGCCTAATAGCTCCGCTAATAATATTATTATATTAGCCTTTTTTCTAGATATAACTGCTAGCTTAAAAGGGGCCTTTAAGTTCTTTACTAAGATTAATACTAAATAGGGCAAATGCTCTGCCAAATTATTAGCTAATATAGGTTGCTTAGGATTCTCCTTTATTAATAGATAATACGCTAAAAAGCACGGCCTTATTCTAATTCTACTGGCAAAGCCTTAGGGGCTATATCTAGCTAATAGCAAGGCTGTGCCAGCCCTTACTTATAAAGCCGAAGTTATACTACTTATTAGCAACTATATTAAAATAATATACTGCTTTATTATAGATCTAGGCGCCTATAATATTATCCTAGGCATGCTATAAATAGATCTCCACCTCCCGCGCTTTATTTTTAGCCGGCGTTGCCTTATTCTTAAATCGGACTACTATATAGCAAACTATATATCCGACAACTATATAGTCTATATCTAGAGCAATAGCCCGGATAAAAAGGATAAAGTAGCTATAAAAGAAGGGAAATAGCTTTTTAAAGCTAAGCTAGCTGCTATTAAAATAAAGTACGCCGTGCTAGACTTAAAGAAAGTTAGCAGTGCTAAAATAGCCTATAAATTAAATAAATACTATAAAAAAGCTACTAGCAAGATATAGGCTAATAATTTTAACGCTGTAGTAGCTAACTGTAACGCTAAAGCTAAAGCTATAGAAAAAGGCGTCCTCTATAAGCCTATGCACCGGATATACTTATTAAAAAATATTAACCTTAACGCCTAGATTAATAATATTATTATTAAGGTAATAAGAAGTTTACAGCCTTTCTAATAAAATACAGTCTATATAAATTTACTATTTTTCTATTCGGCCTCTATAATACGCCTTCTACCTTTTAAGCCTTTATTAATAATATACTGCTAGAATACCTTAACAACTTTACTATAGTATATATAGATAATATCCTTATTTATATAGAAAAAGATAATAAGGAAGCTTATATAGAATATATATAAAAGGTGCTAGCTAAGCTAGATAAAGCAGGCCTCTTCCTTAATATTAATAAATGCGAATTCTGGGTTATAGAAGTTAAATACCTTAGAATAATTATTACGGCTAATAGAATTAAAATAGACCTAGATAAAATAAAGACTATACTTAAATAGCCTACTCTGCAGAAGCTTAAAAACGTGTAAGTGTTCCTAGGATTCTATAACTTCTATAGAAGATTTATAGAACTATTCTCTAATATATCTAGCCTATTAATAACGCTTATATTTTTTAAAGTTTGTTTTATATTTCTATAGCCTACTAACTCTATATAACAGCAATATTTCTAGGCTATTAAGAACGCCTTTCGCAACACGCCTGTTATTGCTTACTTTAATCTAATACTAGAAACCTACGTCCACGCCAACGCTTCTAATAGAGCTACCGGAGCCGTGCTATTATAAATCTAGGCTAACGGCGAACTCCGTCCTGTGGCCTTTATATTTTATAAAATAACTCTATAGTAAATTAACTATTAGATCTATAATAAAAAGCTTTTAGCAATCGTTTAAGCGTTTAAAAAATAGCAGCTAGAGCTGCTAGGCCTGCAGGAAGGCTTTAAAGTATTCACCGACTATAAAAACCTGCAGTACTTTATAACTAGTAAGCAACTTAACCGCCGTTAAGCCTGCTGGGCCGAATTCTTATCTAAATTTAACTTTAAGCTATCCTAGTAGGTAGGAAAGAATAATACTGTTGCCGATAGTTTTACGCGCCGCCTAGGCGATATTGCAGACAATAAAGCTAATAACCGGATTAAGGTTAACTTCTAAACCGTTCTTAAGTCTAAATACTTAGAGCCTGGCATATACCACGCTATTAACCTTGCTGTAATTCTTACTAGCAATAAAGTCGCCTATTCTATAATTAACCTAGCTATTGCCCTCTACGCAATTAGCGAGTTAGAAGATATTAATAAGGTAAAGGGTACTTAGCATCCTATAACCACCGAGAATATAGCCGGTAATAACCACGGTTAAAAAGCTAAGCTTACTAAGCCTAACAGCGCTAATAAGGTATTAGGTACTCAGCGCCAGACGGATTAGGAGGACGGAGGCGAGTTATTAGAGGACCCTCCGGACACGAGCGAAGCTATTCTAGAAGACATCCGAATTAAGCAGTAAATAGATCTAATTGCTTAAGCTATTATTAATATAAAGGCGAATAGCGTTTAATAATTGCTATGCGCCCTCTATTAAGAATATAAGCTACGCCTAGAGCTAGGTAACTGCAAGATTATTAGCGGCCTAGTATATATTCGCAGCTGCTTATATATTCTAATAAATAAAATACTGCGTATAAAAGCTATCTAATATATATATAACCTAAAACCTATAGGCTATAGAGGTACAACTTCTACCTATACACGCGTTGCCCGCTTCTACTTCTAGCCGGGAATAACTTATAATATTAATTGTTATATCGGCGCTTATATAATATACAAGAGAATAAAATATATTTATACGGGTAAATATAGGCTTTTTAAGCCCCTTCCTATTCTAAACCGGTATTAAACGGATATTATAGTTAATTTTATTACGCCTCTTCTAGTCTATACGCAATACGGCCGCAACTATAAGTATATTATAGTTATATATAATAGACTGTTAAAGAAAAAGAAATTTATTACTTTTAATTTAATAGAACTAGCTAATATAGCCTAGGCCTTTATTAAATAGGTCTAGCAGGAGAAGGGTTACCCGCGTAGTATAATAGCTAACCGTGGAACTTAATAGATATTATACTTCTAGCAGCACCTCTGTAAATAACTTAGAACTACTCTAAAGCTATCTACTTCCTTTTATTCTAAAACTAACGGCCTTACTAAAAGCGCGAATCTGGCTCTTAAGTAATACTTCCGCGCGTATATTAATTACGAATAAAACAACTAGGCTAACCTGCTTCTAATTGCTAAGTTTAAAGCTAATATAGATATTAACTCTTTAATAAAGGTTGCCCTATTCCTAGTAACTAAAGAATATATTCTATAGTTAGGTACTAAACTAGCTAAGAACTATAATAGAAGCGGTTTAATATAATAGCTCTAGGAACAAGCTAATAAACTTATTAATAAACTTAATAGCTTTTATAAATAGTGTTATAAGGAACTATAATAGGCTTAGGCTAAATAAAAGGAATATACTAATGCTTATTAACAGCCCGCGCCGGAGTTCTAGGTAGGCGATATAGTTATACTAGATTATTGCTTTATTAAAACCTAGCGTTTAAATAAATTGCTCGACTATAAGCACCTAGGTCTATATTATATTACTAAGCGTATTAAGAACTATACCTATAAGCTTAAACTTCCTAAGTATATAAAGATTTTTCTAGTTTTCCACCCTTAGCTGCTCTACTATATTAATAACACCTGTTTTATAGAAGAATAGATTTAGGAGCCGCCAGAACCAACGCTAATTAATAAAGAAGGCTATAACTAGCATAACGTTGGGCGTATTGTTGTAGTATAACGCGACAGAAGGCAATAAAACTATAAGAACCTAACACGGGCACGCGGCTTCCTCTAATATAAAGCGCTGTACCTAGGATACAACGTTTAGAATTAGAACCTACTGTAGCAGGATTAGGATAACTTT